CTGTCACCTGCAGTGACAAGATTAAACTAGTAGTTTAATATCCATGCAGCACCATTGGTCAGGCACAAAGCTAGTGAGAACGTGATAAATTTACAAAGTAGGCAAAAGAGATTTCGAGAATGATAGATTTAATGTGGCAGATAAATCAGAGCTCTAGAGTGGTCAATGTGGTGACTTCAACTGTTCACTCAAATGTGGCAGTATGCCATGAATGAATAAGCTTTGTTATATAGCTGTACTTAAGGAATACAAATCAGAATAGTCATGTAAAAGTTTGTCATGCATATCTGAAAAATCATAATATTTTAGCTATATGCCTTACTACAGTGATTTATTTTTTCAAATGTACATTTACTAGAGTTGGTTGAAAAATATGATTATGTATTCCAGTGGGAATCTGAATGTTTCATATTATTACAACTAGGAATAAACAGTCAAAATGTCTTTCAGAGACAAAGCAAATCTCAAAGATATCTGAGATACTGCAAATGTCACTCACTCTATAGCATCCTTCAAATTGGTATGAGAGTAGGTAAAAATGTTTTATGAATTTGAAAGTGGGTAGGGCTGTATTAATGCAAATTACAATGAATGGATGATACACATAAATATTGTTTTGCACATCCATGTGAAGTACATCAAAATGATGGCAAAGAAACTTAGAGAACAAGAAACACAGAGACAATGCAATAGGACTACCACACTTAGTGAAGGCATATATATATATATATATATATATATATATATGTAAAAAAACATGATGATTTATGTGAAATGCTTAATGAATTCTGGCATTATAAAACTGAAATATAAAAGCCCAAATTAGTTATTTTGACTTTTAAATTAAAAACAATGGTGAGATGAACACATTTTCACATTAATGAAGCTGTGTTTTCTAAAACAAAGTGGCTTTCACTACTTTTTCAATTCTACTGTAGACTTACTAGAAATCCTGTTATTTGTCAGGAGCTTTTGCTTCCTCCTGACTCAAATTGTGTGAGATATATGTAGAAGTGCTCCTCTATTTTCCTTATAAGGTGCATCCAGATAACTCATTGGCTTTCACCTTGCAGCTCAATCTGACTGCAGAATACTTGCGTAGTTACCTGATGCTGTCAGCTTTGCCATCTTGACTGGATGATACAGAGCTCTCCTTAAACAAAAGGTCTTCATCCCCTTACAGTCTGGACCATGGAAAGAAAGCTTAAAGGCATTTCTGGGTTCTCAGAGAGGGTAAGATAAATATATTTTATCGTTTGTGTTTTTTGTTTTGGGTTTTGGTTTTTTTTTTTTGCATTGAGGGTTTTTTGTTCTATAACACACTGTTGGTTCTTTCTCCCAGAATAGCTCTTACCTAGCAAAGAGAAAACTCCCAGAACATGTTCCTTATACAAGTAATATAGTTTTAACATTTTTGATGGCTGTGGTGTCATGATTAGCACTGGAAATAACAGAGCAGAAGTGAGAAAGGAGTTCTAACAATGCACAGAGAAGTGTATGTGTATAGCAGTGTCTGTTCAGGCAAGAGGAAGCAGGTTATCTATGCCAGAATAAAACAACCTTGAAAAAAATTACATAAACCCATTTAATTCACCAAGCAGAAACAAGGAAATATCAGAGGACAATCCTTCTGCATTTGACAGACCTGACAATTATGAGAAAGGACAGCACACGAGAAAAGACAGCATGCAAAAACTCCCCTTAGTAAAAATTCACTGCACCCATTACTAACATAACAGAAATAGGAAGTGGCTTTCTACATCTTTCCCTTAACTCAGACTACTCCTGGGCTGGCCTTTCTGATTTAGTTCAGCATACCACAGACTGACCTACTTCAGAACAAGTGGGTCATGATACAACTTTAAATCAGGAAGCCTAAACCCCACTCTTCTCTGCAAGCGAGAGTGTGTTTGAGTCAGAAACACTTTCTTCTTCTTATCCTTCTTAGATTGGTACTTTGGCTTAAGAAAAGAGATTTTCAGAACCTGTGTTGGCAGAAAGAACCCAGCGTTCTCAAAAGGAAGCTCTTCATTGTAACTGTATTCATTTTGCTTCATGCTATCCAACACAGTTGTCTCCACTCTAGATAAGTGTATATCGCAGCCTTTCAAAGGCTTTTCGTTATTGACTGATAGTGAGGTTTATAGTATCTTAACTTTCTGCCACCCCTGCAAACTGCTGACACAAGCAAAAATGCATGTGGAGCAACTGATGTATAAGTTATCTTTCCAGGCGGATAACATCAAAATTTTTGATCTCTGTACATAAAAGCTGATTATCTCATCTAGAGCTAAAAATTGCTGCAGATCCTGGAAGAATGTCTCAGCATTTAATTTTTTTTTCCAATGTACATATTTTTGAATTTTCTATGGTGTGTATGCAGACTCTTTGAAGCTGGCCTTTCATGGTTTAGAGGCTGTGTGCGCTCTTTAGATGCTATAAAATATTAGGGCAACAATTTTGCCCCAGTCATCTAAAAATTTTCCTTCTGAAAGTATACATTAGTTGCCCATTTCTTTGAACTTGAAAAAGAGTTGCATTTCTTCTTAACAGTCGAGGATTAGCAGTATGGACTTCAGCTCTGTCTTCTCTATCATCAGAGTCCCTGATTGACTAGTTCTCAAGTAATTAGCTGTGTTTAAGTCCTTCCCTTCACTCCCCCACTACAGTTTTTACCTTTGCTGCCTGAAGTCTCTTTAGGTAATCCTACCTGTGCCTCAACTCTGGTTCTGTTTCGTCAGAAAGACATACTGTTAGTTACTATATATTTATTTAGCAGATGGGTCTGTCCTGGGTGGCACTGTGAGAAAAAATTCATCTCAGCATCGTGTTAGCTCTTTGTTCTCCACTCAGGCAGTCAGCAATTTTTTCTAGTTCCTATATGGGGATAGAGCAAACAAGGTTATTCTGCCAGTGCCTCTTTGGGACAGTTTGGATAGCAGGCACAGAGCTAAGAGGGATTGACTTCTGTTGTGACTCCACGGCTCCTGAATCTTCTGCTTACAGAAGCAAGGAAAGGCAATGAGAGCCAAGGCCTGATTTGATTTACCATCTTCCAGTATTATTATTGCCTCTTAATCCCAGGTGATGACAAGATGTGAGGCGTGCATGTTCACATGGAGATTTACAGCAAGAAAGTGAGAACATGATAAACTACTGCGTAATGATGTCATGGAGCTCTGCAACCTTTCCACCTCCGTCCCCCTTGTTTACACTGGGGCTGCATTTGCTCTGTGTCTCATGAAAAGCAAACAAAAACCCCCTTTCTCGCATACAATATGCCATACCTTAAAAAAATTATTGCTCAAGAATATTACAGTAATTGATTCAATGATGCAAATACAACCCTGAAGTACAGAAGTGAAGAGATGCTTACTACATAACTTACAGTTGAACTGCAGATATTCCACATTTATGCTGTAGAGAAGTATCAAGCCTTTATATAACTAAATAAATGTAGCACTTCTAGTTGGTGTTAAGTAATACTGAAGGCATCAGAAAGGCTACATGAGTGTGTCTTTATGAAGAACAAAGACAGTGTTAACATAGGAAGCAGTGTCCATGCCATGTTCGTTGTTCATGTCACTTAAAGAATGGAAAAATATTTATATTCTGAAATTATAACCTGGGTGGATACATATTATGCCAAACAAATACAAAAAGCTGTTAAGAAACTGGAGACCACCAAGGCTGGTTTGTTCAAAAAGTTATTTTAGAATAGGGTTGGTCCAAGTAAGTCAGTTCAGTTGGAAAGCTGCTCAGATTATTTGTTTTCAATAAAAATTTTTATCTGCCTCAAGACTTTCCACATACAAATAAGAAAAAAATACTTAAACAAACAAATGGCAATGAAAAACCCTGAGACCACTCCGTCCCCCAGTCATGTCTCAAAGTAAATCTGGAATCCGCCATTGTATTTTACTTCCTGGCTTTCAAAAACCAAAGAACTGCCTTCAAAGTGAAGCTGTAGGGAGCCATATGGGTGGTTTTGGAAAAGTCACGTATTGTTAAACACTGACCTGGACCGTCTTCTGTTGACCCATTGTCAACAATATGGACTATGAGGAGATTTGTGAAATAAAAATGTGTTCACTGCTTCCCCCTATTGATGCTCTACAGTCATTTCTGTATAAAGCTTGACTCAAGTTTTTAAGGTTTATTAATAAATTATCTATTAATTCAATGTTGGTTATCTCTTTTCAAATGGATTTTTTCTTCTGTCTTTGATGAAACAATATTTTCATACTCATGTATCTGTCCTGAGTTTCTCTTTTAAAAAATTAAGCTGATTAGAGGGGTTTTTTATTATTCTTTGCCTGCTTTCCTTAGCAATTAAGTGACTATTTGCTTTTCAAATAGTTTTCATACCTTTGTTATGCCATTACTTGTGGCTCTTTAGCACTCTGAATTTTGTAATTCTTTTTTCGTGCACTGTAGCCTTTGAAGGTCTGGTACTTTCTATGGCATAAACGAGGAGCTTTTGCAGCTCTTTATGAATTACATCGTGCAAGCAGTTGATGGCATTCAGGGTAGTCAAGATGAGCCGACTGTGAAAACTGCAGAAAAGCCTTTCAATACTAAGTCAAAGGACAACAAAAGGTAGATAAAATTCAGTGGGGATAATTAAATGTCTATGGACCCGGGAGAAAGCAGACCTGTTTAAATAGGGGTGGGCTTCTAGGTGGCTGTTACTACTCCGGTAACATCTTGCAATTATAATGGATAGTTCTGCTGAAGTAACAGGAAAAATCCCTGAACGATATGAATTACTAGAAAAGAATTGAGAATAGGATATAAAGTAGCGCCTTGCTGCCATAGAAGCTCGCAGCAAGGGGCTCCCTCACCGGAGGCCTCGGCTGCACGGCCGCGCGGGTGCCACAGCCCGGGCAGCGGCGCCTGAGAGGCCCCGCCAGGCTGCCCTCGGCCCCCCCGCGAGCGCATGCGCGCAGGCGCTGTTTGGGGTTGTCATGGCAGCGGGCCGGTATCGGGGGCTGCCGCCGCCGCCGCCGCCGCCGGAGGAGGAGGAGGAGGAGGATGAGGCTGAGGCGGCTGCTGCTGCGCTACTACCCGCCGGGTGCGGAGCGGGGCGCGGGGGCCGGACCGCTTCCGTGCCCTGTCAGTCAGCAGCTGGTGCCGGTTCCCTGCCCTGGCATCAGCTCTGCCGGCATGGCGGGGCCGGGGCTGCGGGGGCCTCCTGGGAGGGCGGTTCTCCTCGGCTCTGTCACGGGCGAGGGTCGGAGAACGCGGGGAGATGGCGCGCCTGCAGCTGAACCGCCTTCGGGCGCGGGTGTGTCGGCACGGCGGGTGGTTGCGAGCCTTGCAGCTGGAAGCAGCTCAGGGCCGATCCGGGCTGTAACTGATGGCTTAGCACTGCGAAATCAAGGCAGTCGCATTCGCATCGCGGTGGGGAGTTCAAAAGTGACAGTAGTTGGCAGGAAAAAATGTATATGCATGATCAAAAGGGTTGTTTAGGAGAAAGTTGTCACATTTCTAACATTTTCTTTCTTTGTTTAGTGAATTTTCTGAGCAGAGCCCTGCTTTCAAAAGCTGTGCTGCTAAATTGTCTTCAGCATTTATCATGAACTCAATCAGGAGACTTAATGAATTTTCAGAAGTGAAATAAGATAGAGATGGCCAGCTCAGGAAGTGTATTTTAACAATGGCTTTCTTTCAATTTAACCACATTTCATATGGACTTGGTAAAATGTAAAATGACATTAAAATTCATATAAATTATCATTTCACACAGAAAACCAAGGAGCATCCAAACTTCTTAACAACTTTATCAAAACAGGAAGCAATGTGGTTAAACATTTTAATACTTCAGCTCAAGTAGAAGGTGCAGAGGTGCCAGAGCATGGCTAGAAATGGAAAGTGTGTTATGATTTTCTATATGTTACTGCACACAGGCCTTTGCAAACCCTGAAACAAGTATAATAGGTTTTGTAAAACGTGTTTTCCAGGCTTCTTGGAATACCAGACTACAGCAAATACCTTCAGGACAGCTGCTTTGAAAATAGAGCTGATGAAATAATTCAAAAAGTTGTTGGGGAGAAAATAGCTTGTTCATTTCTAGAGTAGAAAAGGGCTCATAAATAATGTTTAATATATTTTATATAAATATATCAGAGTTATTCATCACCCTTGCAACTCTCAAGAAGAACAGCCAACCTCCTTCTAGTTCCAAGAACTGGAAGTAGGTCTGCTGCAGTCAGTGGAGCAATAAAAGCGGAAGCACTGCTGTCTACAGGGCATGTTGCAAAATCCCAGACATCTGATTAATACCTTTTTATCAACTTTTTTTTTTTTTTTTTAAAAAAAAGGAATTATTCTGGATTATATACAAGGTGGTGATCCAAAGACCAGATCTATAGATCTACTTGATCTTAGACCTGAGTAAGTATGATACTATTTCAGATAACAGCACTCTGCTGTTTCATAGCATGCTTATATACAACTGTATTTGATTGTTTTAAACATAATTGAGGTCAGCTATGTCTTTGTTCACTAAAACACACATACAGAAAAGAAAATAACATAAATCATTCTCCTACTATTTTAAATGCAGAATCTTGCATTCCATCTAATTATTAACATCATGCTTTTCTGTTAGGAGAGCAAATCTCTTTCTGCTTATAGAATTATGATTATCAAGATGCCTGCACAAAGCCAGCAGAAAAATATAGCACTTAACATTGTAATGTGGTGAATGACAGCTAGTTCTTAGGTCCTGTAATAGTCTTTCTGATATTCAGAAAGTCTGCAAAAAGTGGGTCTAACTCAGCCCACAGTTACAGTGGTTTAAATGATCTCTGTTGAAATTACTAGAAGTAACAAATACACATCAGTTCAGATCTCTCCTGTTAATTAACTAATCCTCATAACAACCATAGGTAAGGTGGTGTAAGATAGGCAAGTGATTCCTTATCATATGTTTGTGTGGAGAAACTAAGTATCTGCTTCTGTTGCAGTAACTGAACTTTTACGGGTTTTTTTGTGAACCTAACTGCAGTTGGCTTCTTTGAAGGAACAAGTAAAGAGTGCATAATGTGATTTTTCTAGTCTCCTACAGATGATGAAAGAAATTACAGGAGCATGATATCTCTAAAAATCTGGGATTGGCCTAACTGAAGAATAAAAAATACAATGTATTTCAAAATCAAGTTTACATTTAAGTTTGATAGCATATCTTTAGGTAAGACAGAAGACAGAGGTCACTTCATGGAGGAAGCAAGTGAGACTTGCTATGTGGAGGATGATACTCAGTCACATCTGCCTCTGGCTTTCAGAGACTTGGAAGGTGCCAGTCTGAAACTCTCATCTGTAGGCCTTGTGAGGAGTAGGATGAATGTGTTGTAATGAAAAAGCTGACTTAACAAGTTACTATGCTGAATTAGGTTTAATGGTGTTATGTTTAATTTATGCACCAGTACTTGAGAGGTTATTTGGCTATTTTGTGCTTTTTATTCTGTTTTGCCAGAATATAATGGCATGTCACAGAATCAGAATCATTTATGTTGGAAGGGACTTCTTATGACCATCTAAAGCAGGGTCAGCTAGAGTAGGTTGACCAGGACCATGTGTAGTTTGGTTCTGAATATCTCCTGGATGGAGACTCCATAACGTCTCTGTGAAACCTATTCCGGTGTTTGACCACCGTCACAGCAAAAAAAGTATATTTTTGTGTTCAGATTGAATTTCCTGGGTTGTTTTTTTATCACTTGTGCTTATTGGCTCTTGTCCTCTCAGTGGGAAGTACTGAGAAAAGTCTGACTCCCTCTACTTCATTCCCACCCATCAGCTATTTGTACACATAAAAACTATGGAACACTTCACTAATTTGCATGTCTTATCTAGTGGATTTTTTTCACAGAACCTTTTGGCTGGCATCAAACATCACACAATGATTATCAAGTTTTATTCAGTGCTCAAACTATTTCTATTCCTTTCCTCCAGCTAATGTCTTCCTCTAGGCACCCAAAAGAAAAAATGTGAGAGCCTCAGTATGGTTTTGGTCATAGTAGTCAATTTACATGCTCTACTCAGCCAGCTCTGGTAGGAAGAGCTTAAGACAAATAAAAAAAATGCCACCATTAAATAAATTGCCAAAATCCATGGAGTTTATTCGGTCAGAGGGCATGAAGTAATATGATTGTCTCAATACCAACATTGATATGGAAGTGTCCTTGCGTGTGGGCCAAAGTTAGTAGACAATGTAGGCTGCACATGTAATATGAAAAATCCAAATTTAAAAATTACTGATTTCTGTCTACCTTGAACTGTCCAGCTTAATACTCTGGATAGAACCTAATGAGTCACTTTGTGAAAGAAAAAAGTTGTCTGGTATTACTTAAAAGGAGTAATAACCACTGAGAGGATACTAATTTATGGGATTTTTATTAGCTCCCAATCAGAGGACTGATATAGAAAATCTCCTTTAGATTGCAATGAATTACATACTAACAGAAATGCTAAGCTTTCTTGCTAGGACTAGTTTTGTGTTTGTTGGTGCTTTGACTGCTGGGTATTGTCAACACTCACTTTCTCATGGGTGGACAGGAACCAGAAGTTTATCTGATGATATGAAGAGATGATCCAGTTCCACAGAGTAGCTGTGAATCACTTCCTGGGAGCTCCGTGGACACTAATAGACTGCAGACCACGTTTGTGGAAGCTGTTATCATAACTAAGAGTATATATAGGAACAGACATAGATTTGTGAAGTCACAGATCGGTAATTTTTAACAATTTCCATATATAATTTATCTTATTGCTATTTCATGGTCAATTCTCTTGGAATTTATGAAATTCCACTGCAATAATTTAGATATTTATCCTAAAACTATCAGGTTTTGGATACACATCTCCCATGTCTGACCCTCTGTTGAAACCCTTTGAAAAGGTAAATTTCATGCTAAGCTAAAATTTTTGAAAGTTAAATCTTACTGAACAACTTCAGTAAGAGAGGGAAGAAAGTATAGAAACCAAGAAAGTTTTATCTACACTTCTTTAAGCTATTACAGAATGAGGTAAATGTATATCATTTAATTGCTTACTTCAGTTTCTCTGCAAATAAATAATATTCTCAGTTTTAAATTTTTAATTATTGCCAGAGGATGAAATCTGGCAGGTTTGGCTTTTTGATTTTTTTGGTGTTGTTTTGTTTTGTTTCTTTTTTTTTTCTGATAATTAGCACAGATGTCATAGCCTTAGTAGAAGAAATTCAAAAACGAGAACCTCTCATCACAGTTTCATACAAGGAACATGTCATACATTTAGTACGAAGATTGCAAGAGAAACTAGGGGAAAAAAAGGATCACAAGTTCTATCTTTTTAAGGTCAGTGGCATCTTTAAGATAATTTTGGGCATTTTGGGGGGTTTCAGTTGTGATATGAGTATGTTTTTACTGCTGCATATTGTGCCTGAGAGCAAAATGTGGACTTTATGACCAATTTATTGGCTCTTTTCAATCACCTCTGTGCTGTTTAGAGTGACTGAGTGTGGCCTGGTTATGTCTGCCAGGAATTCCCCCAAAAGGCTGGGAGGTGTAACTGTTCCTAGACACTGTTTACACAGGCTTATATACAAGGGTGTGTTTTGGATGGAGAGAAATAATTCTCTTATTTGTCAAATAAGATTCTGTGGACCAGCAACACCCATAGCTGAGTTTCAACAAAACCTGTACATAGACCCCAAGTAAATTAGCTGTTGGGAAAGACCCCAAATATTTTCAAACTCTTGTCTACTCGTTCTTCATTTTGTAAAAATGTTGTGGGTTATTTAATGCGTTCTGCTACATAGAGTAATACTGGTTGTTATCACTTTCTGCCATTACTATTATGTTTGAATATTGATAGTTTTATCTTCAGTACAGACAGCACTCTACAAATTTGTTTTAAATGAGTAAGTTTTTTAAGGACAACTATTAGAATAACCTTTCAGGACTTCAAATCCAGGATTCATTCTGTCAGAAGAGAATAGGTTTAATTGTGTTTAACTGTGGAAATAAAAATAAAATTGCTTCCAGAGATTGCATGTTGCAATCTGAAATAATTAAATATTTCGTATAAAGATTACGAAATATCTTTATTGTGTCAGCAGATGGCAATGTGTAGCTGCTAAAAATTGCAGGTCAGTGCTCTGTTATTGATTTTTACCTTAAATTTAGAGAGAAAAGGGAGAAGTTTTGGGTTGTTTGGCTAAAATAAACCCCTTACATGTTGCTAGATATAACTTGGGTTCTTTTGACCAACAGTACACATCTGGGAGAATTCTACAAAGATCTGTGTATTTAACTTGAAAACGGAGCTATGTAATAAGGCATATTAAATTTAAAATGTTTCTGGTTTAAGGTATGCTCTTAACTGGGGTAATACCTTTCACAATATTTAAAAATTGTTCCTCACAAAGACTGATAAATCATTAAATGTTTGTTCAAAATTTAATGTAAACAATGCATTTGTTCTTTGGTATAGTGCCATGTTTGAGCTTCTACATTTGGAATCATTAAAGGCAGGGAAATCCAGTCAGTGCTGGCTTATTTCCTTCGCTCGAGAGTAGTTAGAAGTGTGTGAAAAGAACTTGGTTTATATTTCAGTTCCATTTAAGGCTTGTAAATGAAACATGAATATCAGGTGCTTCTGTGATACTAAAATATAAGAGGTGGGTGGGAGTGAGTTTTGTTTTTTTTTTTTTACCAAAAAAGTTCCATGTGTTCGCATTGTTTGGAAATTCATATTTTTTCCTGTTGCACTGGAGCACAATCTTAAATGAGTGTATAAACCTGTCTTTTTGTTATTTCCAGTAATTATGGTGATCATGGTGTGTTAGGCACCGTGCAGAGAAACAAGCTTTTGTAACGATTTCTCAGGTTTTAAACTATTACATAGCAATGGTACGCTGTAGTGATTTGCAGATTTTTATTTTAGAGACTGCTGTAGCAGACTTTGCAGAACCAAGGTACATTTTTTTTTTTTTTTTTAATATTGTCTTAGGGTTTGATTATTGTATCATTTGCACAAGCAATTCTTGATGGCTTAGAGTTCTGTGGATGAAGAAACTGCAGCACTGGGCATTGAAAGAACAGAATTAGTCCCATGATCTGAAATTGAATGTAAACCCATCTGGTTTTCCTCCCTTTTTTTCCTAATTGTTAAATACGTTTGTTGTTCAGAGCCTGCATGGAGCCCTAAAGATGTAGGGATCAAATTTCCATAAATTTCTGCAATTATCCATTCTCATATGCAGATATTTGTATACTGTGGCTGATTTAAAAAAAAAAAAACCAAAATGTTTTTGTCATTTCCACATCTTGATTGCCCATTCCCACTGGTGTAGCTCAAAGTACAACTTGTCTTACTTTTTCTATAGAGAACAGAAATTGCTGTTTCTCTAACATAAAATAAGTTTTCTGTTTCTTTCTCTCTCTGTGTCCTTCACTTGACCATTGTTATTTCTATTTTGATTGGTCCCTGCTCTTCTGAGTAGAAGGTCTCTAAGATCCTTTAGTTTTCCTTTTGTAGTCAGGCAGCTGAGAAAGCTAGAGATAAGAACAAAAAGTTGAAGCTCTTGTAATAATATGTCAGTGATTAAATGGCATTGCTCATAAATTACTTCTTAATTCTTACACTACAGAGAAGACCTAGTGGACCACTGCTGTATTTTTAACATCCCTTTACTTCACTGTCAGCAATTGCTGTGATTTCCCAGGTTATGATTTTGTTATAGTTTAGACTTGAGCAGAAGCCAGCTTGTAATAGGTGAAAGTTGTTCAAATGCAAACCCTGTTATGCAGTAGCCAGTTTATTAAAACACAAACCAGATATATCTTTTTGGGTGATTTTTCAAAGTAACATGGCATGCTTTCATTGGCAGTATCTGACACCATTTTCACCAATGTTTAATAAATGTCAATATGTATTATTACAGCTATGAGATAATTTACATGAAACATATATACTGTCTGATTAAAGGACCTTAAGAGCAATGTTAGAAGAACAGTGAGCTCCATAATCTACAAAATACAGGCACACATCATATTTTAAATTCCCTTTTTGAATTTTGTCCTGATAAATACCTTTGTTATGGTTCTGCATTGCTTTTTTGTCATGACCTCATAGGATGTAGATGTAGTTTGTTTCTGTTTTTATTGTTTTGTAAAACAAAATCATATACTAGCTGAAAGCATCCCATAACTTAGAAGGCTTAAAATACTCAATTCAGCTGGAGCTCTTGATTCACTATATAAGGCTTAGTATTGGGATTTCTTTCATCAGTGATCTCAGGCATGGTCTCCTCACTCATTTGATTTTGCCCTTTCAGCTCTGGTCAAGGGTTACTTTGCTGGTCTCAGAGAGGGTAGAGAAAAATCAAACATGGGGGAAAAGACAGTTCATTCAAGTAAAATATAAATTTGAAATCGATACTCCAAAACCTGCTGAGGCATGGGGGATTTTTTTAGTTAGGGATTAATGTATTACATCTGACAGGAGGAGGAGAAAATATTAACCTGTTGAATATTTTGAGCAATTGTTTTGGGGTTTTTATTTGCATCAAATGTTGTTTTCTTCTCCCTTTCCCTGCTTCTATTTCAGGTACTTAAAACACATATATTGCCACTGACTAATGTAGCATTTAACAAATCTGGTTCCCGGTAAGTTGTTTTCAAAGTCAAAATACATAATCACTAATTGAAGTTTTGCATTTTAAAATGCAATTTTAAGGAAATTTCAGTGCTCTTATCTTGCCTCAAAAAGAATCAGCGGTGCTGCTTATAAGCAGCTTCAAGCATGATTGAGGATTGGGTTTCAGGCCTCTGTGGGAGAAGTAAGGGGAGATGCAAAAAGGTAGCAGGTGAGATTCATCTTGTGTAGTTTTTTCTTCCAAGGTGGTAATTTGTTGACAATTACCATATTTCAGAAAAAAGCATCTTTATGGCAATAAAGTGAATATTACTAAAAGCTAAATGAGTCTTTGACATAAATTCATTTGAGACTTCCACTATAGTGGAATTTCATGTTAATTGAAATCACTGTGGGCATATGCCTAGTAATTATTTCCTTCATGTTTTGAAAGCAGTAGCTTGCTTTCTAGTTGAAAAGCATTAAAGATTAGAAAGAAGGTTTTTTTATGAGTAATATTTAAAAAAAAAAAAAAAAAAAAAAAAAGGAACCTCTATAGTCATTAATCTATATTTTTGAAAGAAAGATTTAGTGTCTGAGACAGTGTTATAATAACTGAAATCTGTGGAACTCATTTGACTATGCACCAGGACCAGTGAATTACTTACTGTATTCAGATATTAATTTCTCCTTGCTTTAGCTTTATCACTGGAAGCTATGACAGAACCTGCAAAGTATGGGATACTGCATCAGGAGAAGAGCTATGTACACTGGAGGGACACAGGAATGTTGTTTATGCAATAGCTTTCAATAATCCCTATGGGTAAATATATTTTCTCTTAGTTACATCATAATAGCTGATCATTCTCTTTTGCAAATACGGAACTGTTGCTCAAACTTTAACATACATTACCTCAAATTGAAAGAGTTCAGAAATTGTCTCAAATTCTGAATTTGTAAAGTTCACCTATAGCTAATCGCCATGGCATGACACTGCATGTTATTGTATAAGAAATACATTCAGGCATGTTTTCTGCTATAATTTAAAAAATAAAATTTAGAAAGTGAAAGTGTAAATTTCGTTAGATATTCAGTGTCTTGAAAAATACCTATATGGGTCTGACAGATTTATTTCAATAATGTCTTTGTGATCAGATTGTGTTCCAAATGTTAATCATTCTTTACTGCCTCCATGTAATTGTATACAATGTGTACTTATGACAGCTTGTGTTGTTTTAGTTCAGGAGAAAGAACATTACTGTCATAACAAAAGTGGATTTTTCCATTTGCTATTACACATTCATTATTATTTAGGACATGATTTAGAAGTGTCACAGCTGTTGAGTAATTTTTAGAAAGGCCACAGGGTGCCGCTGTTTAAATGTCAAATATAAATCTGTGCGCGTTTTCTGCAATAACTGTTAGCCCTAGGTTATTGCCTAGGTTAACTTCCACCTGTTAGGTGAAGGGATTTACGTGTTAGCTACTGAAGTTTCATTATCATTTGCTTCCTGAGGAAGTTGTAGTGTGTAAGTAAGCCATTTTGCTTCACTGCAAAATAAGAGAAAAGAATTCCTGTTTTTATATTAAATCACATTACTTCTTTCACTGTCAGATGTCCTATTTATCTGTTAAGCAATATACAGTTAACATCAGGAAATAAATCTTAAAGATTTCTTCTCTTGAAGATTTGATACTATTTGGAGCATCATAATTTCCTTCTAAATGAAAAGTCTTTATCTAACTTAGAACCTGCTATGTCAATGTCTTCTATTCTGATATTCTTTATTTTTAAAAAGTAATTAATGAAATTCTTTTATATACTTTGAAAAAAACTATTGTATGACAAAAATCTGTGCAAAGATAAATAACTGTAGACTGTAACATAAAAGTGGAGAAGTAATACACAGCAAGCAAAAACCTTCTGAGAACATTGAGCTACTTTAAATTAAAAGTTCAGCAAGAGAAGAACTTTTTTTTTTTCTGCTAATCTTCAGATTTCGATACAGTGTCCCATGCTACATTTTCTGGGTACCTCACTCCAGTCTTGCTCTAACTGCAGTTGGTCACAACACTTAAACTGATTTCAGTGAGAGTGAGTTCGACCCCTGAAATTTGAGTAAACTACTTACAAAAAGTTTACAACTGTTTATAAACAGATGCTATCTGGTGAAATGGCATAATTTTTAAATACATCTGGAAGTACAGTGGATAACTTCATCCTTAATGTAGGTCAGTTGTGAACACTTCTGTGCTAATAGGCACAGTGGCTCTTTTAGAAACTGATGATGTCTGCTAATGTTTCCCCTTAACGTAACTTCTGTTTGAAATCCTGCTCCAGGATCTTGTAGTGAGGCAGAATGCACCAAAATGCGTGCAAGCTTCGACAACTGGGTATTATTTCTGAGAGTTCTACTGTCTTTGAAGTCAGAGGGGTTTTTTTCTAAATAAAAATGACAGAATTTTTCCATTTAGTGACAAGATTGCCACTGGATCTTTTGATAAAACCTGCAAACTGTGGAGTACAGAAACAGGCAAATGTTATCATACTTTCAGAGGACATAGTGCAGAAATAGTGAGTACTGATGGATGTTTTTTATTCCTTTATGTTTCCTCATACCATCATGAATGGTTGTGGGTTCCAAGCCCCAGTGAGCTGACGCTGGAAGGGGCAGCTATTCTGCTGCATCTATGCACACATTCAGATATTGTGAACATTTCTGCAATACAAGAAAAGATAGCCTGGTGGTTCTTAAGAAATAAAACCAAAATGTTATATACAGTTTGAAATTATATTTTTTAGTTTGTTTCAATTTCCCTTGTTTACTAAATGTTAAAACATTTTTGAAGACTAAATAATCGGAATTTTCGATTTATTGCACATAGTTATGTCTTGATTTGTCTACATATCTCATTTTTTTTCTGGCTATCTTGCATTGCCTCTCATGTTTGCAGAACTAAGTACACAAGAACATCATTGCTTGTATCACTGTCTTTCACACTGAGATCTGTACTTTATGTACAGGACAAGTTGGAGCCATAAAAGAATGAATTTCTGAAATTTTAAGTGTGTTGACTGGGAACATGTGGGATGCTGAAATGTCAAAGATGTATGAAATGAAAACAGTTATCAGCTTAAAAATGGTTTGTTTCCTTTTTAATGCACTAGGAGCCCTATAAGCAATAGCAAGTATCTTGATGCACAGCATCCAGACTTAAAAGATCAGGGCAAATCCACTGAAACTCTTAATTTCAATGCAGAATATATTTTTTAACAAAAATAGCTATACAATCACTACTCAATAAAGCATTTCTGGAAATTGTTTCTGGAAACAATTGGATTTTAATTTGTAGATTGCAAGGCCTGTAGTGAGCGTAAGAAAATGGTGGTTTGCCTTGGTAGAAGGTGAGGTTGGTTTCAGTGGGTTTTTGATTCTCTGGGTATTTTGAAACAGTTACCTCTGACAATAGAGAACCTGTTTGCTTATTGAGACAGGTTGCAGTGATTTTGCTTCTACTGATCAATTTAAGTTTTTAAAGGCCTCTCGATTTCTTCTGACTTCTGTAGGGGTTACTAATAGAGTATTATGAGTTGTGGTAGCAAGTAATTAGTAGAAGATAATAGCCAGGAAAAATAATGTGTTTCTCTGAGACCTGTTTTTGAAAGGCCATTATTGCATATCATACATTGCTGGCAAAGGCATGTCCACAGTTATTCAGTAGAAAAAAAAGAAACAGACATAGTGAAAATGCACCAGTGACCTCAACTACCATTTTCCTTTTTAACATGGCACCTCCTATTCTTTATTAACAGAACAATCATATTGAATAATTAGAATGGGAAGATGACTACATGTTTTTTTTTTTTTTTAATGTGAAAAATTAATTAAGGAAGCTCTTGAGCTTTTGTTCTTGTTTTTCATAAAAACGTATGATGCTGTGGGAACACCCTTGGCAAATGGCCTATCTGTTAAGATAAGAATGTGAGTGTACAGAGTGTGTTAGTGGGTACACAAAACTAACTGGAGTGTCTTTGCCCCAAACTGATCAAGTTAAGGAGGAAGCCTATGAAATGATAATGTTAGGGCGGACTGTCGGTCAGATTGAACAGTAACTGGAGAATCTCAAAGAAAATTTTGAAATGAAGTAGAATTTTGAAATAAAGGAATAGAAGGAAGTAGAAGAAGATAAAAGAAACAACACACTTTATAGCAGGGTGGGAGAGATATTAGTCTGGAAGCAGCAGTTGTCAAAACCTGCTCTGGTGCTTCCAGAAGTCACCCTGGGCATCACAATCTGTGCTTAGACCAGAGAGCACAGCCTTCCTTTTGGAGATACCATGAGGAGTCTGTATCTGGCTAGTGGGTTGCTCAGTATGGAGTTCAACAAAAAGGTGCAGTTGTGTCTTCCCACAAGATGTGCATAGGTAAATTTGGATGCCTTCTCTCTGGCATGTGGATCAGCAGATTGTAGGAAGTGGCATGGGTTCAACTAAAGCTAGAGTACTCATGTCTCCTAGGAGAGGTGTGCAATTAGGGGAACACATACTCCTAGAAGAGGGTATGCGTCTGTAACCCACTCATCTTCTTGCAGAGTGTGCATGGAAGAATGTGAAAGTGTATGTATGACTAAGACTTCCTGGGGTTAGAGGAGGAGGTTTAGAAATTTGTAGATGTTTATTAAGATTGCATAAGTTTATCTCTTGTATTACAGATACTGAATATGCTGTTCTCTGTCAGTTAACTATGCACTGTTAATAAATTAACAAACTGCTTCAGTCTTGATTTTCATTAAAACTTTGTGAACTAAGTAATTTCTCCCTGTGACAAAAAATGAAGCACCTAAATAGTGAATTTTAATCCAGGCTCAGAAACCATAGAGGAAATCTTCCAGTAAGTCTTGTTAATGCATTGCCATTGCAAAGCAGCCAATTAGTCCATTTGATTTGAGTAGTTATCCAGAGATATGTGATAAGGATTTGTTGCTCTTCTAGTGAGCTGTTGGAAGAACTCTGCAATTCTGTATGCCATAAAATATTAAGTCAGACTCAATACTGTCTTATGTAAAAAGAAGACATACTTGTCATGTTTAAATTATTAATTTTTGAGAAAATATATATAAATACTCTCCTTTCTTACTCTTTCCATCCAACATTTCTTGCTACAGGTATGTTTATCATTTAATCTTCAGAGCACATTGCTGGCAACTGGAAGCATGGATACCACTGCCAAATTATGGGATATAGAGAAAGGAGAAGAAATAGTCACTTTAAGTGTATGTTTGCCTTCCTTATGTTTTTAAAGGTGTTCCTTGCTTTCTGTTTCAAAGCAGTTGCAGTTTCTTTTACCAGGTGGTCCCACATTGACTGCAGTTATAAAACAAATTAAGGAAAATTTAAGGGAATGATAAAGTATAAGAATAAAGAATGTTATAAGAAGTCCTACTTATCAAGACACAGATGTTCTTGGTTCAGTGACACTACTTGTATAGATTAGAATGCCTTCCATCACTCATTAAAACATGTCGCTATACTGTAAATTATGACCTCCTCTGCATTAACATAAAGTAACTCTAAGAACATTAATATCAGACCCCTTATCTGTATGGATCTTCTTCCTGTAAACATAAGCAGAGAACAGCCATCCAATTATCTCTTGTGATGTCTCTTTGCTCTATGCAGCTTGCTGGGATTCCACGGGTTCAGATTGGCCTGTGGCATAAGCTTCCTTTGGTGTGTATGGCCTATAGAGTGAGGAAGGCATTTTCTCTGCCTTGACTTTCTCTTCCTCAGAGCAAAGAGCAGTGGAATGTGCGAACCTTTAGCTTCTAAAAGTATGCTTACATTATTTTTTTCAACCCTCTCCACCAATGACAAGCTGTACTGTAGTTTATTGTAAATAAATACTCTGATTTCAGTATGTATTGGTGAACAAATGTGACTCTGTTTAAAGCAAATATAGAAAATGTCCAGTGATGTCATAAGTGCGTAAGTGCTCACTGCTCAAGTGATGTGCCTGATTTTTTGCACTTTGGATATTGACTATTCTGCAGTCCTGTAGATCTTGTCAAAATTGTGATCTACTGGACAAGAAAGTAAATAATGTATTGAAGGGTTATACAAGGATTATGCTGCTGAAAAAAAAAGCTACTTGTTAAACTACATTAATGGAAAAGTCATAATTTACATTCTCATACTCCTTTTAAAATATTCTCTTAGGGGCACTCAGCAGAAATTATTGCATTGTCTTTCAACACCACAGGAGATAGGATTATCACTGGCTCCTTTGACCATAGAGTGGCAGTGTGGGATGTTGGCACTGGCAGGTACTAAATACCATTTTACATTGCATGTTTTAATGACAAATGAAAGAGACAATGTTGAGCTACAAATTACAGACCTTGTATTCTTGCTTCATTTAGAGTATGCTTTCTTTCATCTTATCATTTGTTGCTCCTGTTCCCTTAGTTCTGAAAAGAAATTCTGCTCATGAAATCCTTTTTAATATGTTTTTTGTTCAAAATGTCCATCTTATGAGCTCTGAGGATGCAGACAGAATGGACAGATCCTGTGTTTGTTGATGATGAATTCTCCAAATAAGAAAATATTTTATCAACGTGGAAACTCATGATTTGGAAGGTGTCTAGATTGAACAGACAGTTTAACTAGAAAGACAGTTTCTTTTATGTCATAGAAAATAGTCTGGTCACATTGTCTTTAAAACTATAGGGGGTCTGTTTTCATTCTCACAATCCTTTATGTCAGTATAAATTTATAAAGAGGAGAAAATTTGGCCCATCTGACTGCAGAGAACAGAATGTCTTGATTACGATGCCAACAAATAATAATGTAGTAGCTAAATATGAACTTGTTGCATTATCCTCATAAATCCACTTGTTTTTTTTCAACTGGAAACTCAGTATAAGTAGAATAATAAAATGATTGCCCTGATTACTGACAAAGTAATTTATGAAGATAATGGTTCTATTATGTTTTCAGAGGTCATGCCTTTTTTCTTTTTGTGAGAGCAAGGGGAATATCTCTGAAATTTATATATAAAAGGAAAGTGTGTGTATAGTGGTGTCTTGGGCTAATAAACAATGTGTATCACTTCAAAATGAGAGTAATCATGTGATTTTAAAAATAACGTACACAGAGTACATCCTTTAAGGCTCAATCCTATAAGTTTTCAGCTTATTCAACACCAGCAGTTTAATGTTTGGCGTGTAAATATTTAGGAGGCACGCACTCATTCGGCAGCTTGGACCTTTGGATTCAACTTCGTTCAGCCTGATGTTCTTGCAGATATTTTTGTTTGAAAACAGCCGCTACTTTGAGCGTCTTGTCTGAGCCTGCAGTGAAGTCAAAGTCTTCGGATTTTCATGTTGCTTTCCTTTTTTTCTAAGATATTAATGTGGACTTCACATCAGCATCAAAACCAGGAAGTGGAATATGAAGGCGAAAATTCTCATTTAAACACTGGCAGCCCTGGTAATTAGCTAGTGGGCAATATAATTGTGCCAGAGCCAGCATTCAGCCTTTTAGATGGCTGTTGGGCATGTCTACATTTAGTAATAATGAAAAACTGCAGTCACAAAGAGTGAGCAAATCATGCTTTGCTTTACAGGTTCAGGTAGATTGGCAAAAATCTTGTATGTGAGGTTGTGTGTGCCTGTCTTTTGCCATATGAAATATATGAGAAATTCTGCTTTCCTAATTCGAGTTTGAACTTGATGATTCTTTTTTCTTCAGTTTTATTCTGGGTAGGTATCCAGAATTGTCCTGAGGGAAGTTGATGTAGGAATAAGAAATCTCAGAAAGCTTCAAAAAAAAAAAAAAAAAAAAAAAAAAAAGAGGGGGGGGAGTGGGACATGCTTTTGTAATACAGGTCTGTTTTTCATCAATAATTTCTCCATGGCAGATATGGTCAGCTATAGTTTCATTGAAGGTGTCTGCAGAGCTTCATTTGACAAATCCACAGCTTGTAACTGGGGTCAGGAGTGCTGGACACCAGGATGCTGAGAGAGAGAGTGTTTCTTCTTATCTGCAATTATGGTGCAAATATTAGAGCATACATGTATTAAATTTCATTGGAAACTGAAAGCTAAAGAAGTATTATCATTACTGAAGCTGATTTTTTTAAAAAAAAAAATTAAGTGGAAAATTTTCATGGCATTTCACAAGCCTGTTTTCTGAGTTCTTTCTAATTATGTATGTGGTAGTGGTTACTGTGAGATGTTTCACACATTGCTATTTATTTTGCTTATTGATCGCATATATATGTTGAAGCTTGAAGCCTGGACTGCCTTTCTGAAATTTGGAAATTAAAGCTTTTAAATTTTAAAATAAACCTTTTTTCATTATTAGGTATTTTGGGTATTAGGTATTACAATAACAGCAGGCTTAATGGCCAAATAATATGTTCACAAAATTAAGAAGTTTTCCACTGTTGTTTTCTGCTTGTGGATTTTTGGTTTTACTGTAAAAAGGTCTACACAGTACAGAACTCACAGTGTTAGAAAGTAAAAGGAGTAATTCTGTAAAATGACATGAGTATAATCAAGTCTTTGTTACCATAAAGAAATAGAAAAATCAATTACTTAGGAGATTTGCTTTGCTGTTCATTTAACATATACATTAATTTAGCTATCCTTATATGTCTTATCCAATGAATAAAAACATTTCAGTCACTTAAACTCATTTAGTTGTTTTTCTAGTTGTTAGTTTATCCATTAGTTAAAGCACTTTTCTATTAATGATATAGTGATATTAGCATTGTGATAATAACATAATTTACTAATCCTTTTATATATATATGTATAAAACAATTAATCTTTTTTAGGGTTCATTGCCTTATAGGCCATTAATTCATAGGAAGCAATAATGGCTAATTGTACCTTTTTTATTCAGCTAAAGCTGAAGAATTTAATGGAGCTAGTATTGCCAATCTTGTGCAGCAAGAAGTTTAGGATTAATGAGGATTAAAAATCATATTTCAATTTGGCTGTCATTTGCTTGTTTCTTGGGAACATGCTCACATTAAGTACCTGATTAAGTTCCATTTGATCTTCAGTGGATTTTATAAAAGGTTTAGATTATAAGGAGTTTTAAAGACGTACTGTTTACAGTTTGTTGAAGTAGGATAATGCAAGGGTAATGTGGAGAAACTGGCTGTATGTGCTTCGTATGTAGATGAATATGGAAATCTGTCTCTGGCACTGGAAAGTCATCACATTTCACTGGAAATACATTCATTAAAATATTTTTGAAAGAGAAGGGAGGACTCTTCCATTCTATTGTTTACTGTCTTTCCCACAGATAAAAAATGGAATTGTTGTAGTACTAGAACCTTAAATGAGCTGTACTGCTCCATTTAATTGCTTTAAGGGATAAAATGGTGAAGACTTGACACCTTAACTATACCATTTTATAAACTATCTTATAATTTATATGTGTATATCAAAATACACACCAAAAATGTAAATTCTCCTTTTTGTAGGATATTACATACTTTAATGGGTCACCGAGGAGAGATTAGCAGTGCACAGTTCAACTGGGACTGTTCTCTCATTGTCACTGGATCCATGGACAAAACATGCATGGTAATAAAGTGGAGTGTGCACCAAATACAGATACTTGATATATAAAAAGATATCATTTGTAAATGGAATAGCGTTGTTTTAAACAAATACATGTAATTCATTAAAGAATTTAGAACTAAGTGCAAAACCTCTAAGCTTATTCATTTCAGTGAAGTCCAGTTAAATAACAATATATATTTTAAGGCTCATTTAGGCAATACACTGAAATAAAAAAAATATAGGACTTCATTAAACTGACTAAACAGTAACTCTTTATTGATTTATACCCAGGTTTCATGTTAATGCATTATCAGACATCAGAAATGACCTATACATATTGCTTTATAGATCAACTAGATATCTATCAAGTAAATTAGTCAAAGTAAGAAAAAAAAAATTACCCTTATTTATCTATGCAGCTTTGGAATGCTATGACTGGGACACATATAGCAACTTTAATAGGTCACAGTGATGAAATATTGGATGTCTGCTTTGATTATGCTGGCCAGCGTATTGCAACTGCTTCTGCTGATGGTAAGTGAAGTGACTGAGACTGCTATAAGAATTGCAGTAGTAGCATGAAATACCTTTGTCCTTTTCCTTTAGTTTTGCTTTGAATGTAGCTTGGTGAAAGGAGGAGTATCATGGCTCAAAAGTACAGATCAATGTTTGTTCTATTATAGAAAGTTTGGCATTAAACTTAAGAAGTTTTCCCCAGTGAAAATTTTCTTCTTTTTCACACTTTAATCAATCAACATGTATTTCCCTTTTAACTTCAAACTTGCATGTAAATATTTCACTTGTGGCTGGAAATGCATTTTAAATGTTTAGGTAAGTACCTTTTGAGTGAAGTTTGATTTGGGTGCTCAAATTTAGGCTTAAATGAAAAAAGGCGTTGGAATTTTAATGGTGGATTTGCTACTAGGCTTTCCAAATGCACGTCAAGAGAATACACAACAAAGAGGTAGTGAAAGAAGCAATTTTGTTATTGGTGTGCTGCAGTTTTGCATGCTTATTTTTTTTTAATCGCAATAAGTAGTTTTTTGTATTCACCTGCACAGTGTTGTGTTATAGTGCATAATGACAATACCATATTATTTTTTACATGCTTAAGTGTTTAGATTTGTACTTTCAGAAGCAGGATACCAGACTGGATGGAGGGCACTGTTTGGAAATGTTTTGCTGTTGTTGCTGAATTAAGACATAAGACAATGTAAAAAGTTTCCTGAAATGTATTAATAGCTTATTAAATATAATTAACAGCTTAGTAAATAGAATGAATATTTGAAATATAATGAAAGCTTTTTGAATATTTTGTACATGCCTTCTGAAATTATAGACTTCAGCAGTCCATGTACTTTGTGGACATTTGTATTCACATTTTAGAAGTTTTCCAGCAGAAACCATTAAAAAGTCAACCTTTTCCAATCAGGTTACAGACTCTTTTTGACATACTTTATCCTTTTGTTAAGATTGTCTTCTATTTTGAAAACAAACCTGAGGATGAGGTCCTTCCAACTGTATTAAAGTGTTCTTATTGAAATGCATGCTTAAGCATAACAATCAAAAATGGCTCCTAATCTCCTACTACAGGATCAGCAAGAGTCTATAATGCAGAAACGAGAAAGTGCATTGCAAAACTAGAAGGTCATGGCAGTGAAATTTCAAAGGTAAATTTTTTGTGCTTTGCACCTTTTCTTATTTGATTACTTGTGACATCAAATCCACCAGTTATTCCATGACACAGGCATACTGTTAAAGAATGTGGTGGTAAAATCATAAATATTTAAGATTGATAGTTCTTATTAAGAAGTTATCTTTACTAAAAGAACATTACATTTGACTAAAAGTTATCAGTCAATGATTATTTCCAACTCCCCCTTTCTGAACGAAGATAACCCAGCGTGTGCTACTCCTACAGGCTCCACCAAGAGCCATCTCTCCATATTTTCATGTTATTTACTATTTGATTCTTTAGAATTGTGGTAGTTAACTGGCTACTTAAGAAGTCTGTCCCTCCCAGGGATGGATACCTGGCTTTGTTAACATTGAAATAATTGTTTTTTCTAACTTCTTTCCTTTTTCTGAAACACTACACAGGTTGGGTCTACACAATCACTTGGCAGAGAACAGGGGAGCAGAGAAGCAGATGCTGTCCAAATGTTCTTTTACAATGATCATAGTTATCAGAGCTTCTGCCTGACGTATCTTAAATTAAGTCCTTGTAGTCCCCAGATTCTCTGACAGAATAGACACCAGTTTTTTAGTTTCTTGATGATGTGGCTGATGTGAGGCCATCACCCTTATTCCTTGCTTCTATCAGATCTACTCCTCTTTTTTCATTTCTCTGCACACCTGATTTATGGAACGGAAGAGAAAAAACGTATTTCTGTGGCAAAACACATGGAGACTCTTGTTTTCAAAACTGCATAAGGGACGTGGAAGTATAAAGCCTGTTTCAAAAATGACTTGTTCATGAGGAGTGTGGTCCTTGCTTGCTGGAAGGCTTGTCTGGCTCGATTTTGAATTCAGTTCCAAATACATTTAATACCTCCAAAACTCTAAATCATTTTCATACTTTGCTGTTTAATGCTTGCAACTTTTCATTATTCTTTCAAGTACATAGTTTTCACTAGCTTCCAGACTAGTATGCTAAGTCTGTGCTGCTTTTTTGGATGTATTTTGTAACTGAAATATTAATATTTTGAAACTAGAATAGTTCTTAGTGAACAATACTCACATGCTTTCATTGTACTGATTTGACTATTATAATCATTCTGCTCAGAGAAGGAAGCTCACAAGGGCTGATCTTAAACCCTTAATATAAGTCACTGCAATGTTTCACAGTCAATGTAGATGCACTGAGGAATGTAGTCTGAATACATACTGACATGTGGGTGGCTTAGGGACAGCTTCCATCAGGGTCCTTAGTGGTGGTATGATTTCTTCGCTGGAAGCAAGAATCTGCTCATCTGGGAGCATGCTGAAAAGTCAGAATTATTTCTGCAGATGTTCTGTGGAGCTGTGATCACTTGGGAAGGTTATTACTTAGAAATCGGATTTCTGGGGAACAGACATTTTGCCCTCAGTTATTAAGCAATTTTATGTTCTATAATAAACCTGATATTGTCTGGTTACTGCTATAAAAATATATCTGATGATCTGGAAATGTATGTAATTTTTGCAATGAATGTTTAACAAATATGAAGACATACTACAGAATGAGTTGTCTTCAGTTGAAGTTTTGATATTACAGAAACATATGTTGTTTGATATAGAAATCTATAAAATATGTATAAATTTTACATTGGAATAATGATAACATTTAAATAAAGTTACAGTTGTAGAGCAATTGTGATTTGGGGGGAATAATATTCTGAAGTCTTGATCCTATAGTAAGGTCATTGTATATAGAACTTCGTGCATACACACAAACTTCAGCCATGGAAGTCTGCCAGGGTGACTCTAGTGGAATATACTTAATTTTAGATGAAAAGCTGAATACAAGAGTTACTGCTTTCTGTTTTCATTTTTAAATCACTACTTCCTTTTCTAGGTGTATTGACTTGCTACTTTTTTCTAAATTTTTTAAAGGTTTGTTTTAACCCTAAAGGCAATTGTATACTAACAGCCAGCTCCGATAAAACAGCTCGACTCTGGGATGCTGCTACTGGACACTGCCTTCAGATATTAGAGGGTCATACTGATGAGATATTCTCCTGTGCTTTTAATTACAAAGGTGATATAATCATTACAGGTAACTAATATATTCCTTTTTTTTTTTTTTTTTTTTTTTTTCTTTGAGAGACATTTGACATCTTGTTATTGTAAAAAAAAAAGAATCTGAGAAGTTTCCTGGGGCCATATCCCAAATTCAGTGATTTAAAATACAGTCAAGAAAAGCTAGAAACTCCCTTTTGAACTGAGGCTTAAGTGAATATGGCCAGGAACAATCTGTATAAAGTCATGTGCATGCCCCACCATCTCTCCTATGGGCATGTACTAGTACCAGACCAGTGACTAAGCCATTTTCTCGTGATGCATTACAGTGAGGGAGGCCTGGATGAGCAAAAGGTAAAGCTTTTCAAATGGGAGCACACCTTTTGTGTATTTGGCACTGGCCTCTGTTCAGGTTTCCTTAATTTCAGACAAAAAGTCACAGGAGTGAGAAAAGACATGAACAGAGTATTTGTGACTGCTTTGATCTTTTGATTGAACTAGCAAATATGGGATGCAGGATGATCTCAGCTAAAAATATTGCTGTAGGTTCTGCTGTCTCTTGCTAGTCATGCATAGAAAAAAAAATTCTGTGGCTCCTCAGCATTCTGGGTAGATTGTTGATGTAGATGTTAACAAAAATGGATAAACTGTGTGATACAGCTAAATTATTTATTCACAATGTGTATTTATTACTAGGAAGCAAGGATAACACCTGTAGAATATGGCACTGACTGAAGAGAAGGAAAAATCCGGTTTGGTATATGCTTACTTTTTTGAGTTTCATAGTCAATAAATGCAGTCTTTCAGATCTGTTCTCTTCTACCCTTTGTTTGCCTTCAGCTTTGTGGAAATAGAAAAGTTACCTAGATTCTGGTAGGTTTGACTTTTCTGTTGTCTGGTAGATATGTAATTGCAAAATACTAGAAGTTGGAAGGGACCTCTGGAGATCATCTAGTACAACACCCTGCTCAAAGCACTGTCAACCAAGTGGGCTGCCCAGAACTGATGTGGTTTTGAATATCTCCAAAGGACAGAGACTCCGTAGTTTCACTGGGCAATCTGCTTTGTATTTGATTACTCTTACAGTAAATAAGTTGGGGTTTTTTTTCCCTATGTTTAAAAAGAACATTTTCTTGTACTACAATTTATGCATGTTGCCTCCTCACTGGGTACCTCCAAGAAGATTCTGTCTCTGTTACCTCAGATACCTGAGAGAAATCATCATTAGTGTGAATGAATTCAGTAGGATGGCCCCATTTCTTTCTGTGTCATTTTTGACTTCTAACCCTTTTAATAAAAAAAATACAGCATTATAGCAGTCTCAGCTTGAGTGTGAAAGGGGTGGTGTTATGCACTTGCTCTGAGTACTTGTTTTAAATTTTTTGTTGTGTAATAAAATATTGAGCTAAAATTCCAGTTTCCCTACTTGTAATACAATGTCCCCTTGGAATTTCTGGAGAAACCCAGCAACTGTTTGTGAACTACATGCTGTAATTAAACTCCCAGTCATGACCCTCTCATACTTGCCCACATCTTTCCATTCATTCCATTCCTTTCTGCTCAGCCATCATTCTCCCATTTTCACCTGAGGTAAAAAAAAATATGGGTAATGACTCCAACTCTGAATCCTGACCCAAAGATTATGGCCAGCCTGAAGAAGCCCTGCACACAAAAGATTTGGAGCCAAGGATCATGATGTAAACTTGAGAAGTGGATGAGGAATTCCTGCAAATGATTTATGACTGTAGGATGAGCTCTCATCCAGGCTTACCTCTCATCAGCAATTGCTAACAGGTTTCACCTGAGCAGAGCTCTCCCCACTTCCTAGCAGAGCACCTGAAATGGCAGTGGCTCTTTGCAGGGAAGTGGCAAAAGGGTAGAGCTGAGTGGTCTTTTCTAGCAGCTTTGGAAGAAGAGGCAAAGAAGGTAGGATTGAACAAAGTATGTGTGTTGACTGAGAGAAAAAAGGAAGGAAGGAAGCGTGCAGCAGAGAATGAACTTGGAGGTATTTTGTTTATATTGTATATCTCTGGGTGGCTACAGGCCTGACTTCTAATTGCTGAATTTAATAGGAAGCTAGTAATGCTGATGTGTTTTGACTATCTCTGAGTGCTTGCCAGCGTTCTTGGGTGAAAATGAAGAAGCAAGAGTGCCTGTCGTGACTTGGCAAATATTCTGATAGTTTCAGGTAGGGTCATGTTATGGGAGAATGAATCAGTGTGCTGTAGGTCGTTTAAAATTAAATGTTTACCAGTAGGCAATATGGCTGATATTAATGTTACTGTAATGTGTGTGGTGTTTCCTGTTGTCTTGTGCAAAGACTTATGATATCAAAGGTGTATCTCAGCAACCCAGAATTGAAAGGGGCAAGAAGGGTAATGCAGCTCTCTGTTACTTTAGAACTGCCCAATGTCTCTAGACCAGTTTGCACCTGTACTTACAGGTGTGACTTGAGGGATCTCTGGCTGACAAAAATGGAGAAAAACTAGTGTAATGAAACGTTTACAAATACTGCTACATAGTTAAAACCAAATTTGACTTGCTGTGTAACCATCACAAAGTAAAAAAAAATAAAAAATCTTCAGGCTGTGATTAGGAGGTTTTGGCTTAATCTTTCAATTTGGGTTATTTTCTGTTACCTTCTCTTTTATGATTTTTCTCTTATACTATGCTAATGATTCAGTGACTCAAACGTCTGTAGTAGCTTTTGGCTTCAAGCTCTTGTCCTACTTTTATGTGAAATTGTGAGTTGAGGTTTCACAGACTAAGCATTGGACTGGAAGGCCATCTGGGCTCTATTTTTGGGTCTTCTTAGATTCACTGAGTGAGTAAAATGGCTTTTAAAGCTAAGTTATGCAGGTTTCCTGCTCAAATGTTAAATACTTTCACATGTAGTCTGATTCACAGCGCTGCGGAGAAGTATGCTGACCTGGCACCTCATGAGAACTTCAGTAGTACTCTGGGTCACATCATATGAATACTTTGATGTTAGGCTCTCTGCACCTTGGTTTGCCCATATATAGATTTAACAAATTATAGATACATGTTAGAAGTGCATTATGTAGATGTATCATCCTGAAACCATTCTGCATCTCTGATAGCAACTCGATCCCTTTCTCTAATTCCACTTTGGTCCCTGCAACCAAAATAGCATACGTGTGTGCTCTAAGTCTATTGTCTGGTGCCTCTTTAATCTTACGAAAACATTTGACTTCTACATACCTTACACTCTCCAAGCTACTACTTTAATCACTGGGTGGTTGGAGTGGGATGTGGCTTTCAATGTTACCCTGAAGTGCTGGCAAACGATTCACTTGATCTTGAAAAGGATTGCTTCAGGAGACTCACGAAGTGTACTTTAGCGAGGGCTGTCACAGTGAAAGTCGTATTTGCTGCATTGTTTCTGTCCTTTAGACCTCTGAATCCTTTCAGTATATACCTCTGTGAATATACAAGTTTGGCTTTGTGGGAAAGAAGCCTTTAGTCTGTATCATGTAACTTCTCCAGGCCAGAACCTGTATTTTACAAGACGTGGATGAGGATTTCCGTATAAGCATACAGTGGGTACTTGCACTTTTGATGTATGCTTTTTGTATCTCTTGAGATTCAGATTCTTTTCTGAAGAGGTGTGGATAATAATACTCATACCCATTCATGTTTTAAAAGTGGCATTTTGTGAGAATTTCTTTTTCAGCTCCTCCTGTGTGATAATCCTGGGAGCATTTCCTGGGTAGTTAGTGAAAGGATGTGAAGTATATCCTGCTTGGTTATGTTTTCCAGTTTGCTATGCTTTACTGTCTAATTTTCAGCCAAAGCTGGGAGGAGGGCACAGTATCCATCAGCCAGACCTGTCTTCACTCAAAATTGTTTTAATTAGTTTGAAAGTCCAGCTGTCTAATTTAACTATCTGTCCTGCTAAGTGCTGTAGAGCTGTAAGTTGCTTTCTGAGGGTCTGTTCCTCCCGATGACTGGCTTTAGAGGGGGTTTGAAAAATTGAAGTAGTGGCGTTACAAGTTTGCTCATACTTAGCAAAGGCTTAGGAATAGCTCTGTCTTGAATTAAAATTCTTAAATTGGCTAATATGGATGTGCTTTCCTTCTCAGATGAATTTGGTTTTTTTTATTAAGTAGCTCCCATGGGCTCTTTTTTCCAATTGGGTTTTTTCCCCTGACATTCTGAAAGTCGGAGTGCAGGATTCATGGTGACATTCCTGTGCTTGTCTGTCATGCAGCTCTGCATGCAACTGGACAAGAGAAACAGTAAAATTGGCCTTTCCAGAAAAATAGGGTAACTGTAGGTGTCCATTTTTATCATAAACCACAATAAAGTGTTTAATTTAGTTGAAGACACTATGAAAATCTTCAGTGTTATGACAAAAGTGAGGTATAGTTTTTCAACTTCTAATGATCCCAATATTAAAAGCACCCTAAACAAAACCAAACTAAAAGTTTTTACGTACTTATTTTTTCAATAGGTAATTCTCCTGTGTTTGAATTATGCTAGATGCTAGATTATGCTAGATGCTATTCTGCTAGATGAAGAGCAGAATTTATTAGGTGGGTGGTAGAGTCAACATCAGGGTGGAAAGCACCTTTCCCTGAAGCCTTCTGGCAGCGCAAGGTGGTGAGTTGGCCAGCGCTGAGGCAGATGTGTGTGCTGCTCCCATGGGTGGCCTGGGATGGCCAGGGCACCTCCTGAGGCTCGCAGCGTTTGTCTTATTCTGTAAATTATAGTCCGTCTTTTTCAAGTACTATTCCAGCTCCCACTTGAACCTATGTACAAGTTTTGCATTCTCTCATTTGATAATGTGTCACCTCTTTTTGTTTGCTTTGAATCTGGCTCATTTAAGTTTCTTTTGTCAGGACATAGTTTTTATTAGGAAAGATAGTGAGCAGCCGCCTCCTCCATGCCCTCATGATGTTAACAACCTGCATCATGCTCATATATGCAGAGAGGTTGAACTACATATAATTTACTCTGAGATTTTTACCTAAAATTGTATGTAATATGAAGTTTTCATTTATGTGTATTTAACACTGACTCTAATTTTTTTCAGCCTCTCTTAATGGCGGACAAGTCCTGTTCTAATTTACTCAAGTGTTGGTTTTCTTTTCTGTTTAGCAATAGAAATACCTTTACACCTAGACAGTAAATATCTGTGCAAACTTAAACAAGCAGAAGCAGCTCCTGAACTTCTGTGTCCCCACGCCACTGCCTACCTTTGCAGGTACTGAAAGCAGCTAGAGTGACCATGAATAGAGATTTGGTGTGTTGAGAGTTGTTCTGGGGTTAATTCTCAGCAATGAACATACAATTTGTTTTACTGTGGTCTAAGAATGTTATGATTAGCCTTGTATCACTTGAATCAATTGTGGAACCTGAGTAAAGCTGTACTTTTGGTACTGAGGTAAGATGTTGCTCTGACTTGTTTTGGTCAGGGCCATGGGTCAGATTTTTCACTCAGCAGCAGAGCTTTGAGCAACTACAGGGATGGCAGGCAAATATTATTTAATAGGTCAAAAACCCAATATCATGTTCATGAACTTTTTAGGAAGGCAAAGAGGACACACATTGTAACATAAATTTATTTCTGAATAAATTGCAACATTCAGAACTACTGTACAGACAAACCGCATCGCACTGTTACAACTCTGTCATGATATTTGTGCTTTGTAGGATAAGTAAACATTTATTCTATCACAGCAAAAAATTGTATACTGACAACTAACTATTTGGTTTAAAAATAAATACACTTTCCCATTTATTAACTTAAAGCACTTTAAGTGTATAATACTTGGTGCTTTTTATTAACTTTCAGCCTCAGAAATGCTGAGCATTCAGAGTTGCCACTCATGTTAGTGGGAGTTATGGATGTTCAGCAATTCTTAGGAGCAGGCCCAGGAACTGCACAGTTATGTTCAGTGAATGCAATAAATTAACCTTTATTCTGACAGTAAAGCAACCTTCACTGTTCTGTACATACTGCAGAGTAAATGTAGAATTACTCATGTTGTTTATGTTCATGTTAGATTTTGATTCACTAAGTTTGTATTTTGTAACAAATGAGTGATGCAATCATGCAAGTTTAGGAATGGTTTTAAAGATAAAATTGAGATTATGGCTCTTTTCATTAATTATTTAAAACTACTTCAAAATTTTCAAAAATATTTAGTGCAAAAGGATAGGTTTTCTTCCAAGAAATATTACAGAAGCATATACTGTTATATGGAAAATAAAACATCTCTTAAATATTTTATTGGGAAAAGCAGGCAGGTTTTCTATTAGGCTATTTGGGGTAGGGAGAAATGAAAGATAAGTATTTTCAAAAAACCAAAATCACCAAAGAGCTGAGATGTGATAAATTTTATATTTACCTTTAAATTCCAAACCAATCTCTTTGGCAGTCAAGAGAATGTATCATTAAGTGCATGATACTAACATCTCAACAAGACAGTAACAGAGTGTATTTTATCAAACAGTTATATAAATGTTATAGTAATGTAAACTATCACATATAGTCCAAACACTTATATCCAAAATGAACAAGTATGTCTGCTGAAATTTTAACAATCATTTTGCTTTCTTGTAAGTTACAAAAATTAAGATTTTTGAGATGGTACTATTTTTAGATAAATTGTTAGTAAGATGAAGAAATGCTTATTTGATTAAACTAAAATAGTATTTTTTTTTCTTCACTGATTTGAACTGATATGTAGCATGTTACATAGTGCTTTAAATAGAAGCACTTTACGTAACGATTGTACTATCATTACTCCCTCTTACCAGGTAGGGACACTGAGGCACAGAGGTGAAATGACTTGCCCAAGGTCATGTGGCAGGTCTGTGGTGGGACAGGTCTTAGAAACCTGCTGCCCTGACTTGCAGGGATGTGTTCAGGGATATACCAGGTGTAGCTGTACTGAACTGCACTGCCTCCAAGTGAAAAGGAATGAGTTTTTTAAGGGTAGTAATTGAGAGTCTGGATTTTATTTCCTTGAGAAGAAGACAGGAATCAGGAATAGCTATGGAAGAGAAATAATCACATGGAAAGAAACTGAGTTTTCAGCAGCTTTTTATTGTGTTGTCTAACTGCAAAGGTGTTAAGTGTCCAAAAGTTTTTACCCCTTAGCAGACTATGGGGATTTTTTTAAAAAAAAAAAAAAAAAAAAAAAAGGTAGGGACACAGGTGTCTCTAGGCATCCTGGAACACACTATGGTTAAACTGTATAAATATTGGCATTTTAAAACTGAATGTTAATGTACTATCCCATTTTAGCTGACTGATTTAATCAAACTGATGAAAATGGAACATATTAGATACTTAATTAAGCCTTCACTGTGTAGTCCATTAATTAGAAGGCTAAAAATCCATCCCCTCCTAACACAGTACATCCTATAGCACAATATGTCAAGAGTCCTTCATGATACAGAAAGATACAATACACCTTGGTTTCACTTTGCTCCTTGTTCAGTTGTGGAAGGACATGTGGTGTTTCTGTATTTGTATATCTTTGCTCATTTTATTAAGTGATGTTTGGAAATTTGAGCATTACACAAACCACTGCTTATTTAAACTGGAATAAAACAAAAATGCTGAACTGGTGAACTTCCTTAACCCAATTCAAGAAGCCAATCAAACAGGCTTGGTGTCATCTCTCTGCGTTCCTCACTGAGCTTGCAGTACTGCACCACGGCATGAAAGATATCACCCACTTTCCAGGACTTCCTTTGAACTAATTGCACAACATCTAAAAACTAAACAAAAAAGCAAAACAAAACACGCTTAGGACTTGGTTAATGCTTTGTTAAATGAATACACACAAATTTCTGTAACCATCCTTTGCAAATGCACTGATCTAGGAGGCAGTGGACACAATTCATCATTTCTGAAGTTCCATAGCTCCCCACAGACTGGTTGGATCTCACAACATTTTCTAAATTAGCTGCTCTCATCAATTATTTCTTATTTATTTCAATGAAAGTAAGAATAGTGAAAGTAAGCTCAATAAAGGATCATGACTTTCCTTTCAAAATGATGGAAGTGTGACTATCCATTTTAAAGAAAAAAAAAATCCCTCTTCATTACCATTACCTATATGTTAATTTATATCTAATTTTCTGTATTTCCACATAAACGTCCTGTAGTATTTTAAATATTCACATAGTACTGGTGAGGGAATTCTGGGTAAACTTTTATCACATGAAGATGTTTGCCACAGTTGTGTATGAATCACAGAGTATCTGTATTTGATTTCTTTTTTAACTTCCAGATAAGCCAGAGGTTAAATATATGTTCTTAAGCAGCTGTATAAAGTCCTGAATTTGTCCACTTTGTACTTAATAATGGCCTTTAGTGTCACACATCTGGTCCCATTTTTTTCTGAAGCACATAAATGAAAATCAAAGTGCTTCATTTCTTTGAATTTCACAATCAATATCTAATTAGCTTGCTCCCTCTATATTTCCAGTTTTAAACCACACAAGAAAATATTGTGTGTCTCTAGTTAGTGTAGCTGTTTGCTATTTACATACTGAAGCCTAAACTTTTAATATGTATTTTAATGATATTTAATAGGCACGCGATTTCCAAGAGCACTGTTGTAGGCAGGATGTGCTTCATTATTCTCTAGTGTATTTTTGCAATTGAATTAACTGTTTGCCAAAGCACATGGGTAAAGCTGACAGCTGTTTCTTTAATTAGATGCAATTTGGACTGTTGCTTCTGAATGCATTTTAAATTATGTTTATGATTCCCAAATGCATGTACTCAAGAAAATCAAACAATATCTCTGCTACTCAAAATGATCTTCCCATAAAAGAGCAAAATACTGATTTATAATACTTTTTTCATTAATTGATTTGAACACTGTGACACTTTTTGTAAGCCTTAAGGCTTGAGACAATCTTGCTGACCTTGGAAATGGGGCTGGTTTGATCATTCCTGAAGTGCTGTGGGTGGCATTTGGTGGTATCTACAGTAGTGCACTAACTAATCATTCAGGAATAGAAAGAAGTCTGTACTTGTTGCCATTTTGGACTTCAGTGTTGCTCTTGGTGCTCTGGCTTGGACTAATATCTCCAAAGGTTTCTCAGTTCTGGTAGTATGTGTCTGCCCCTCTCTGGAAAGTGACTTTCAAAACAGTGGTTGGCAGAGGCTAAGCTACACCTGAGCAGGAGCAAAAGAGTAGTGGCACACATAGCACTTTTCTATTGCTAAGCTAGGGGAGGTGGTGCTTTATAATTTCCATACAATGATGCAAAGTATTTCAATCAGTCACCTAATTTTCCAAGTAACAGATGTGTGATTGCAAATATGGCTCCAATGGAAACGCTGGTTGGTCACTGCCTGGGCAAAAACTGTCTCTCAGCGTAGTAATCGTATAAGGATATCCTTACACAGCTCGGTCCATCCTGCCTAACCTCGGAACTTTCCATCGGCTTGGGGGCAGAAGCCCCATAGTCTTAGGTCCGACAGTGAACCTGAGCTAATACAGGTTTTCTTTATTTTGCAGTTGGTCTTTTCTATATGTGTGAGTAGCAATCCTTTCCTGCCAGCATAAAGTGACTATAAAGCCAATGCATTTGGCCACGGTAGATCTGACATGAATGTAGGAGGAACTGTCAGGCCCCTGCATTATCCTGCTGTATCCCTAGCTATAGCAATTTATGAAGAGGCAGGCACAAGTTCAGACCTGCCTGAGGCTGCCCTAATCAGTCTTGCAGGCAAGGTAGAACTTGCATAAGGACTAAGGAATTTCAAAGCTGGAAATCTCAAGTCCAATTTATGTCTCACATTGTAGTCAGCTCATACTGTCACCAAGCAGCAGAACTTTGTATGTGTGATGTCCACACACAACTGATTTTTATTTGTTGTTACATGCTTAAACTCCATGTAAGCCATCTTCAACCTTTCAAATGCAGAAACATAAAGGACTCTGGGTTAATTCTGCCTTGGGCGTTGATACTTAATGTATCACTGGTATGAAAGGTGAACAAATTCATCAAAGCATGTTATAGAGGCTTTGGAGAAGGTCTCGTGGTGATACTGTTCCTTGTGCCATAGACAATCTACTAATTATTTCACATACCTTAAATTCTGATAATTTAATCCTCTCCTCTCTTTCTAGAATAAGCAGTAGCATTGCCATCTTGCTGTAATGAAGATGTTCTTGCATATGCTTTTAAGCTCAGTACCTTCAATAAATAGTAACTGCTACTGTGATTAAAGTGAACTGTATCGCTAATTCTGTAAATACTACCTTTTCAACTCTGTTTTCCTGAGATTTCTTAAAATAGATGGTTGGAATTCCAAGTTCAGAAGCAGCTATCCACTGCAGGGTGGCTCGCAGCTCCACATCAGGGCACTCTGGTTCCAGATCAAAGTTTATTACCAGTAGGTCCTTCTGACAATTAGCTGTTCCCACTGAAAGCCCAGAAGTACTTTCTGGAAAAATAATTGCAGCAGTTATCGTGCAATTACTTGTGTTAACTTCAAATTGTATACTTTAACTGATACGGTTCAACTTACCTTCTGTATTTTCTGTCTGTTCTTTAAGGAAAACCTTTTCTTCTACTAATTCACTTAGAAACAAACAACAATAAAGCTTATTAGTGATATTTAGGAACAGTCTACAACACTGCTTCATGATGGATAAACTTCTCCCTCAATGCAAGACCTAGAAAACTGCAAGAAAAAAGTTACGTAGGATGAAATAATAAAATGCTGAATATATTTCATTTATTTAATCTGTAAATCAGGAAAAGCTGTGGGAATTGCAGCATTATTCCTGTAACGGGATGAAGTACTTGTACTGGTTGTGCTGTGTGTTACATTTCACCAACATCTGTGTATCTTTACGTTTTACATCATGACAAGCAAATGACATTATGGTAAGACACAGCAAGTCTCATAACCTGGGCAGAAACACCGAACTTCCAATGCCTGCATTTTGCAGTATTATACTCCCTGGCTGAATCTTTTCCAGTCTTGCTTTCTAGTTTTATCTTTCATAGTTAACTACAGTCATAACTACCAATGACTTCAACGACTGCTGGTTTTAAATATATTAGTTGTTTGGACAAACAAATTCTGTTTGCGCCTTGCAAAAATTTCCAAAGATCTTAATTTCTTATGTATCATGTCCTTCTTAAACTACAGGAAACAAACTCCAAGCACGTGGTCAGTGCTTCAGCTTCCACTTCTGAACAGTGTCCATGTGCATGGGCATGTACATTTGCAGGAGACTGCAAATTCCCTGCTGTTGTCACAGCTATTCCATTTGTTTCATTGCTTCTGTCCCATTCTGACCTCAGTCAGGGGGAATTCTGCAAGTGTAAGATTTTGTTTCTAGCATGGGAGGATGCTACTCTTTACCACCCTAATTTACAGGATTTCAGAATTTCCCCTAAGACTTCAAAGAATCAAGGTTATATATACTCACGTAGTGGTTGCTGCAAGATGTGAGAGGAAAGACTAAAATAGCAGCATGCAACGTATGGTTTGTCATGACTTAGAATCATGCTTAATAACTTCCTTTCCATCAGTTTTTTTTCTAATTTTCTGTCTGAACAGCAGGTGTATTCTGTGCAGTGACTTTGATTTGTGGAAATACAAACTTTTCATGCTTATTGGCTAACAATTGAGAATAGCCCCTGAAAGCTAGAAAGGGGAATCAAAAATTTCTCCCTTTGGTCCTCAGATATATAAGGGAGAGGGGTCATCTTTAGGAGTGGGGATAGGAGATATCACTGTCTACTGTGACGATTAGAATGTTTTAACAATGTGAGTCTCCAAATTGGCAGCTGAGAGAGAACGCATGTAACTCTACAGAAATATGAATGCCTAGCTTTTGAGAGGCTTTTTTAAATATATAAGAAATCAGGACTTGTTGTAGTATAGTCTGGTAACGAGCTGTGAAGATTTTCTGCTGTCACCAACTTCACAAAGTTCCCATGTTCAATGCGTGATGTACACAATCCGCAGTGGCCATGCCCTGACTGCATTGTGACATTCACCAGCTGGCAGGTTATACCAGGTTTCAGGGTACCGGAATCTTCAGGCAGGTACTTGCACATCTCCTGATAATTTAACTGCATGCTCAGTAGAAACATGTCCTGAAACATATGATAGGATGTACTTTGGGCCAAATTATTATTATTCTTGGAAAGAAGGCTATTATTTTTTTCCTTTGACTTTAATTGATCCTTAATTGCTTGACCTTACTTGCTATTATAGTAGAGTTTTGATAATATTTGAAGTTGTCTAGAGAGGAAAGTTCTCACAATGGAAAACCAATACTGCAGAAAACTGTCTTTTAGGAAGAGCAGTTGGTGGATCCATATTCTCCTGAGAGATCCTTTCCTGGGCTTTCCTGTAATCTTTCATTATCTAGTGCTATCACTCTGCACAGACACCTTCATGTGCTTTTTTCTGAAACTAATGGCAGTCTCAGCAGCAGGTGCAAAGCAGAGCTTGGCACATTTTAGATGGTGTAAATGATTTGCAGTTAAAATTAGACTAAACATCAAGTCTCACTTCAGTGACTACTTACTTAATCATAGGAGAAGATGGCACGTTCTCCTGATAAATTTCCAGGTCCATAATGCCAAGACTGCTAGTTGTACTGCTGTTGCCATTGCTGACAAAGCAAAAGTTTAAATATTAGTGCCAAGCTGCACTGAACATGTCTCCATACATCTTTTTAAAATTTATTTATGTACAAAGTGAGGAGGCTGCCCCCTGTTATGCAGAGTTCCACAAAATCAGTTGTGCTCAGCAAGTGGTTCCCAGAATGAAGCACGCTAATCTGCTCAAAATAATGAGGATTTTAGTAAAATAGTTCTAAATAGAACATGTATCATATGATGATCTAAACTGGAGGGAAGAAAAACAAGTTAACTATCTTCTTGCAAATGGGTTATGTAATGAACATTTCGCCTCAAACAAAAAACCAGTCCGAGTCCTTCAAAAAGGAGGATTATCAGGTAGAGAGATGTCCTGGAAAAAACCTGCAGAGATTCAGATACCTCTGAACATGGTGAGTTATAGCAAGGCATCTGTTTGTCCATCATATTACTTACCTGTTGGGTGACTCCATGCCTGTAAGGAGCAGCAGTTTCAGTGTATTACATCATACCCCAAAGAATATCAGGGATCTAAAGGAAGCCACAGGTACAGTGATAGCCCCTTATGTCTCTAACTATTCTGAAAGACTGAGATTTCTATTACAGACAGTGCTCCTTGGGACCAGTAATGTGTAGAAGTATTCTCTTTGGCTTCTTCATAAGAATTAAGTATTACATCTGAGAATATTTGGAAAAATTAGTACCAGTTCACTTTATGACATCATTTAAAATTTGACAGCGAATGTTTACACAGATACTGTAATAGTCTCATGATCAGGTTGTGAATTTGCTGGCTGCAAGTCAATTAGCACAAACAAGTTCTGTGTGGCAAGTCAACTTGCACCACTTAATTTTTACTGGAAAAGCAACTAACAGTATTTTTCCTTACGTTAGAAGGGTTGATTAGACAGTTCCTTTCCCCATCAGGTTTTTCTGAGTCAGTGTCAGCATGCCATGCACTCAGACTTTCTGTAGCAATTTGTGTTTCAATGCAGAGCCAAAAGGCACAATACATTAGCTCTCCCAAAACAAGGACTTTGTTGAAGGCTGATACTATAACAATGGAATGAATGTTTACCCACACTGACAAACAAGTTTTGTTCAGTATTTTTTCAGCTAGCCAACAGTGCTCTCTGACAGAGACACTTTCTCTTCCCCGCTTTATTGCCATGCTGTCTTCTTCCTTGTTGTCTTAATCTCCAAGAGAAAGATGCAATTACCTGACAATATTTTAAAACCTAATCTAAGAGCATGTGAAGAAAAATCTTGCTCAAGTTGAAGTTTTGAAGGGGCTGAAGTCAAACTAATGTCACTTTATATAAACTCTAACGACTAGATAACACTTTTAAACACATGTGCTGTCTTGAATAGGAACAAAAAGCATCACATTGCACTGGGAGCTCTGGAATTTACCCCTACTCAGGAATTTATCCCTCCTCAGGAGGGAACTCCATCACCCTCTTTGGTCGGCTCCTCTGTGCCATTCTAAGCAGATTAGGGCTCTATCTCTGTTCTTGGTGTACAAGAGAATATTATATACCTTGTGAGAGTAGCAGTCTCATCAATCTCAGCTAAGGACATGCTAAAATAAACATTATGCAAATAGCAGCAAATAAATCAAAGGAAAGACTGTAGCAATTAGCTTGTCCAATAGCCCTTTCACTGTAGCACTGAGGCATTTGAGTGGTGCCAAGAAGTTTTTTCTTTGTCTGAATCTAGCTACTCACCAATAATAAAAACACCTGGCTGAGACCCAGAATGTGGCTAACGTTTTTTCCTTTTTTAAAAATAAAACGATGAACTCTGTCATTAGGCTTTCTTTACAGTGTTTTGAATAAGTCTTGAGCTGTTGACCCTCATTCCTGATGCATGGTGGTCAAATCATTGGCCTGGCTGATTAGACCATATTGTGTACTGGCAATAGACAATACAGGTACCTCAGGGATCGCTCGCTGAGTTGTAAGTAGCTACTTGTGTCGTCAGGATTGTCCTCATCGTTAGCTAGCTGGGACCAGCTGCCAGTGCTTTCTTCACTGCTGCTGAGGTGGTTTGGAAATTCTTCAGCTGTTTTTGTCTCTATGATTTCAGCATCTGGTCTGCTCTGTGGACTGTTGCTGGTAGGGTGATAAGGAAGGCACATGGATACTGTAATATCAATAATATCAATGCCACCACTCTTCAGGCAATGCTGCTCATTAAAGTCTATCAAGCTGCAATGGTCTGAGATGATCTTAAATTATCTACTTACATCTGCTATAAACAAACACAAACCAAAGAAGCCTTATACTAAAACATACACAGAAAAGGTTTAACGTGTACAAAAAGAACTGCTCGCTGCACAGGCCTATTGCTTAGTGCACTGCACTCAATCAGCAATTGAAATATGTGGTATATGTTAGTGCAGAACGATAGCATTTCTCAGAAATATATATTGGCATTAAATCCCCGTCCTACTACTAATAAGTTTCTGACCAGGGTATTCTACACTGTTAGTTTTGTAGTCTAAAAGAGGTCTAGGAGTAAAAGTAGGAAAGTATTATGGGCTGTGAATCACTAATGACTCTTAGCTTTCTGTGTTTCTTAGGATCTTTGCTGCTTATGTTGGGGAAGGACAAAGTATTTATTTTCTAGCTAGATGTGCAGCAGTCAGAAACCAGACTGAATATATAGCCCAGACTGAGTTTAGAAAACACAAGGGTTAAGGGAAAATGCTTTAAGATTCTGCACACTTGACATATGTTGCACACATACGCACATATTTGTCACACATCTATGTAATGCACACACACTCCCACAAATGCACACACAAACAAAAAGTAAAAACTATGGTAGCTTTTCAGAGCCAAACTGGACTTTGCAAGACTTACTGTGAGACTTTTGATATGCAGGCAGAAAAGTATATAATAATCGCATCCCCCTTCTTTGATCAGAAAGAATGTTATGTTACTGCAGCACCAGAATAACAACTAAAGAAAACTAGTTTTGTTGTTTATGGGATTGTCTGCATTTGCAACGTTGTGATTAAAACAATGTAAAGTGTATTGGCAACCCTCTGCAGGATCCCTATAGAGAAGTTCTCACCTTCAGACTTTTATCTGTAGTCATGGCTGAGGTGCCCTGTCTTCAGTTAGAGCAAGAGATCACATCAAAAATTCTATTGCTCCCAAGTAATTAACTTGATTAAGAATATACTGAGACAGTATCACTGTGTGAATCACCCATATGTCAACCTTAATTTGGGGCTTGGGGTTGAAACCCCAGCATTTCACATACCTAGGAAAGTACATGCTTTCTCACTTCAAGCAGAGCCAAAACAGAGCACTGCCTAGAATAAAATGAGCTGCAAAAGGGTTTCTAACACTAGCACCTGCACTCTTTCTAGCACTCTGAGATAATGGGGTGCTGCAATGTTCCAAGTGATCAGCAGTTTAGATACCATTAAGGTAATGGATACAATGAAGAAGTATAGTTAAAAATAGACAATGTCTTGAGAGTAAGCATTGCTCTTAACCTCACAGCATCCATAGCAATCCTCTGCATTTGCACTATACTCTCATGCTGGGCTTACACTTTGCCCTAACTAAGGCAAGTTGCAGATTTCTCAATAAAGGGAGTACAGCTGTAAGGATAGGGTGGTAGCTGTGGTATGAACTCCATGAAATGGAATTAAATTGAATTCTATTGCATGAAATTTTATTCTTTAAATTATACTGGAGAATTCTTGAACCCAAGGAGGTGAGGGGATGCTTTTAATTACTATAATTTCCTCTACTAAAGAATTTTTGTTACTTGTAGCTCCAGACTTCACTCAAGCCCAACTTCAAGTTCTCAGAAGTCTGGTCTTATTTTGGGGTACACAAATCATTAGTTATATGAACAAGTATAGCAGAGAACTACAGGTCAAATTCTGCTGTCTTCTGTTCTATACTAACACTGATCTTTATTTATTTGAGATATCAGTGAGAGTTAAATGAAAGTTCAAACTTTGTCTATCTTTCCTGGCCTGACTATAGAAGACTAAATATCTGTAGAGAGAAAACTTACTTGTCTGTGCAGTATTAGATTTGAATCTGAGCCGTGGTATTGTCCTATTCCATGTAATTTTGTTCCAGACATTGGCACTGTCATATATGATTGGGTGATTTAAATGCCATCAGAATCCTGTAGTGAGAACTGAACCTGTTTATTTCTTTGGAAGTTTTTAATCATCTTCTTACATTTTTCCTTTAACGTCATAATTTTTACTGGGAAATTAAAAGAAACACCAAAGCAATGTGCTGATTTGCTGTTTTGTCACTCACCTATTTAGTAGGGAACTGGAAACTGTGTGTTTCACATCAAAAGCCTCTGCAGGATTTTCTTTGCTTTGATGCTCATTTCCAGATGGGCCACATGAAGTTGAGGACTCTAAGTCTTTATCTGGCTCATCTCGTTGATCAGTTTCTATCTGAATTAAAGGCACTTCCCTGTGCTGGCCTCCAGGGAGGCATCCAGGACTCTTCATATGCTCTTTTTTCTCATCCAAATTTACTCCATCCCTTTCAGGTTTTGACTGAATCCGAGTTGGGCTTTGAGGATGTTTGCTTTCCAGCACATGTTCTCGACTTGTGTAATCAAAGGAATCCTGCGGGACAACAGTAACATTTTTGCCACTTTCAACAATATTTGCAGCCAGTCTGTTTGCATATTGTTCCACATGCGGTGGGGAATCACTGTGGAACTGATCTGTGTCTGCAGCCTCTGCCTCATCTGCTATGATTTTGTTCTTGCGCATTAGAGATTCAATGGAACTTGCCCATGTCTCATGAATCAACATATCTGTTATCTGGTCGGTCTTGCATCTTTGGTACAGGCATGAATCAGACTTGCAAAGACCTGAAGAAGCCACGGTACTGACTGGCTGTACACTTAAGGAATCTTGGTGATGGTGGGCAAATCCATCTAAAGAATTTGCCTTAACTGGGACATTAACTGTTAGCCTAGAGCCTGATGATCTGCTGTCAGGCACTGATGATTGCCTAAAGCAAAAAGGTGATCGTAGAGAGGGTGGTAGCAAACTGCCACACCAGTCCTTTGAATTCCGAGGAGAAGATATGTTATCTTTATTTTCCTTTTCTATTTCTCTTAGCATATACCTATAAAATTCTTCTGTTATGCTTTCTGTGCTGGACTGTTTGGATGGGCAACTTGGTCTTACATTGAGATGACCATTTTTCTTGGCTACCTGCTGCAAAGCAGAAGTTAAGATGTTGTTTGCATTTTTTCCTGCATAGTAGTCCAGCAATAGATCAAAACCTCTTCCTTCATTTTCCATCTGGTTCACCATAAATCTTGAAAATTCATCTGTAATGCTCTCACAACTAGATTGCTTTGAGACAGAACTTGTCTGACTCACAGGCTGACCGAAGGTGTTCATTAGGCCTAGGGTATTGAAAGAGGTTTTGGAATCTGAGTCCTCCTCTGGTATGCTCTCACAGCTTGAGGCCTTGGCTCGGGTCCATCGCTCACAGTGCAGCCTGTTCCTGGTGTGGTTTGGACCTTGCCAGATGCTATCCACCATGGAAAGTTCGGTGAGGTTCATGATCTTGGCAGCCACTTCATTTGCAAAGATATTGACTGAATCTGGTGTGTCCTCAAGGTTTATAGATTCATCTACTACCCGATTCATCAATCTTTCCTTTAGCTCGGGATGCTCATCTGTTTTTCTTTTGATCTCACTAAGTCTAGGTGCCCTGTGCTTCCGAACAACTGAGCCATTAGCGTGGGTTTCCTTTTTCCGTTTCATGGTTCTGCATGATAAACTCTGGGTCACCAGATGTTCATTGCCTCTCTTCCATGCACAGAACCAGGGTTGCTTTCCATTTGAATTTTCAAGACAAATGGCAGCTATTTCTGTTGCCATAGAGACAACTGTTTCTGCCAGTTCTTCTGCAAAATCTGTTATACAGTATTTGTCCCTTGAATGTTTCACCTGTAGCACAGGCTGAGAAGGAAGCAAGACACGATTTCCTAATAAAGACAAGCTAATCTGAACATCATTATTTAGCACAGTATCACACTTATGCTTGGCCTGATTTTCTCCATTCATGGTGGCACTGGGAGACAGCTGTTCTTGAACACCATGCCTGCATTCATTGTTTGAAAAGGTATCTTCTCTGTCTGAAAATGATCTGTAGTCTTTCTTCTGATGATGATTGTTACTCTGATTTGGGGATTTGTAACAGTCTCGTGCTGTTCTTTTCAGGTATCTTTTTTTGGGAGATGTTTTTGCAACAAGTGCATTATGCCCTGTAGCTCTACTTGGTTCTGAATTCAGTGTGGCACTTTCCTTGCTATTGACATCTTTCATATTACTTTTCCTAGTATTTGTGACATTTCCAAGATCTTTGCTAGCACTAGCGCTGTAGGATGTACCAAATGGTTTAACATCAGAGTGATCAAGGGAGCTGTGTGAACGTGCTGTTGCCTGTGTTGACCATCCTTCTGCTCTTGTTACTTTCTCTGCTTTTGTACCCTCAGAAAAGAGAGGAGAACATTCTTCAACTTGTCTTATGTCATTCATCTTCTTGCAAGTGAAATATATTACATTAAAAAGCAACTTGTTTGCAGTGTCCATGAAAATGTCTTGTGTACTTGAGCCATTTTCTGAACAGGGATGTAGCTGTCTCTTCTTCCTAACCTCTTCAATAGAATGCCGTAGAATAATATTGGATAAGTTTTGTGCAAGTTCATCCCTGATTACTTCATCAGTGTGTGGAATCCGTGGCCTTGCTGCTGTTTCAATAATTTTTCCATTTATGGATTCCATAAAATGCCCTACATTTTTGTATGTGTTGGGTTTTGTCAAAATTATTGACGTCTCTTTAAGAAGTGCCTCTGCAATGCTGTCATTTAGCTTTTCCATGCTGCTTCCTACAGCTATGCTACAGTGGAGAGTAATGGCTGCAGAAGTCTGAGCAGCAGACAGAAGTCCACTCGAGGTTGCAGGGTACTTCTCTTCCTTCGTTTCCCCTAGACCACAGACAGCTACAGCACTTGCTACTTGAGTCATGCCACACAGTGCAGATGGAAATGAATATTCTGTTCCAGTGCAGTTGTCAAGTAGCTGTGAAGATGCTGCGTGTATCTCGTCATTATCAACCATTCCACTTTTAGAGTCTGTGGTTTCTTGATCCCATTTGAATTTTTCTGCAGCCTGGGGACTGGAAATGGTTCCAATAACAGTGGCTGCACAAGCCAGAGCTACTTCCAGTGCACTCTGGCTATGTCTGTTTGAATGTTCTTCCTCAAAGTAATCCAAAACTTCCGCAGAACTTTCTGACTCAGTCCAATGGCACAGGTTGGGGAAGGCAGACCCTGGCCAGTCAGATGCATTCTCAGAACTGTCTGGACTCTGCACTACGACGATCTTTGGAAGTTCACTCCACGATCGGGAATTAGATAAATCTTCTGACTTACAGGAGCTTCCTACGGAGATGCTGACTGCAGTCTCCTCGCTAAAACTGGCTTGAGACTGTGACAGTCTAATGAATGCATCTTGCAGAACAGATTCTGCTAAATTTGTGGCATACTGACCTGTAGTCGCCTGCTCGTTTTGCGAGGGAGGATCAGTTTTCCCAAAACCTGCACAATCCTCTCCATCTGTCTTACTGCTGTGTTTTGCTGTCGGGTCATACTGAGACCCCACCTCCTCTTTAGCCATTCTGGTTAAAGATACGTCATCTAATACATGTGCTGAGGAGGAATTTTCAACCTCAGCCGTCAAATTAGTAGTACTAAAAGATGAAGTAGCTCTTTCATCTAATTCCTTCTGCCGCAGTGTTTCCTGGTTTGACTTATCTTCAGGTTGTAAGATGCTATCTTCAGCCACAGCATTCACAGCTTCAGAGATTCTAGTAGCTGCATTATCTTTGTTAATGAGGTTCCCTTCAAGAATGAATGGCAACCTGGCTTTTCTGTAGTGGAGATTTTCAAATCCCTTTCCTTTATTTTTTTTGGCATCTGAAGATGCTTCTGAAACACTTAATTTTTCATGACCTATTAAAAGAAAACCAAGAAATTAGTTTTTGTGGAAGTTACCCTGTAACTTTAAAAAGAAAATGGCTGCACAACTGTGTAACACATTACTGGTATGTAAAAACTACTGCACATCCGTGTATCCTTGTCTTTGAGCAATTTAAAAATATAAGTGGCTATGCATTTTCTAAATTACAAATAAGTATGTGCATGAATTAACATCAAATGCAATTTCTGTGAGCATTGCCATGGCTGTTTTGCAGTAGGAACAATAGCAGAATTATGCTTAGTCTGGCTGCTTTTACCAGTTTTATATTCATCAGCCTCGTTGTCATCCTCGAGGTGCTCAGATGCTGTGAGGAAATCTTCTTCTATTGAGGACACTGAGCAGTTTGTGTCATCCTCAGGTTTTAAGACATGAGCTTCTATCTGCAGCTGTCTCTCCTGAACGAGCTCAAGCCCAATCAGAAATTTGTTTATTTCAAAAATGATGCAGCTTGCGCTGTTTTTCCTGTCCCCTCTCGCACACTGAACCAAGCAGACATCTGCCAGCCAAGGACACTAGAGGGGAAAAGAATCTCAAATAGTTATTCAATTAAAAAATAAAACTTATTTTTAAGCTTCCCTCTCTGTAAATATCTCAGGAATGTTCTGTTGCAAAGATGCAGTACAACTTGTCATTTAGATGTTTGTAACACAGCGTACAGTTAGGTGTATGCCCAATAAGACTGCTTGGACCAACAGCTTTTGTTATACAAGCATTAGGTAGAGAATTCAGCTGCATAACAGGGGCATTTTTATTTTGTTGAAAGTACCAAGTCATTAATTTTCAATCAAATTCTTGTTTTAATGGCAGAGCCTTACCTGCTTTTAGCCATGTCAGAGTTAGCCATCTGGCATAGCGTTATTAATGGCCTCACACCACCCAGTATTGCCTGTCTCTTGAGGGAATTGTCTGTGGGAATGAATTCCTTTTCTAGATAACGTCTGTTGCAACACTTGTTTGAAGACAGCCTGTAAATACTGGCTGATGAGATTGTTAAGAACAGGTCACCTTTATATATTCTTACAGACTGTTTTAGGAGTGTTTTGTTTCTTTGCTCTTCTTCCTCTCATTCCTTATTTGCCCAAAGCCTCATTATTTCTGACCAGTATAACCTTCCACTGGAAATGGGGCTCCATTGTGCACTGTGCTGAGCTTTTATATGAAGTTGTCTTACCCAGAGAAGCTGTACAATTAAGTTGAAAGTTGGACAGCAACTGAAGAGAAACTCCTGTTATCCTCATTTTATTGCTATTAAAACTGTTGGATATTTATACAACCACAGAGCTAAGTTGTTATCTCTGCATGGAACTATGTTTGTGGTATGGATGTGCTCTGAAGCGAAGCCAAGCTTTTTACAGCTTGTGATCTTGTGCTTTAACTCCAGGCCCCCAGGAAAGAGTCCTCTTGAGTGGAACCACCTCTGGACTGAGGTGGTAGATTTTAAGCTGTGCAAAAGATGTCCTGGACCCTCTGTGCATTTGCACGGTATCTAGCATAATGTAACCCCATCCTAGACCTTTTGAATGTGAATGCAAAGCAAAAATCTAGTAATAAAGGGAGTAGGATGAGTATTATTTTACAATAGTATGTTTTATTAATCTGCTCTTTCTTTCCACCTAAAAAATGTGTCTGAACAGAAAACCAGATAAAATAGAGTGTTAAAAGTAAACCAGAAGAGATTTTTTTGAACTAGCTGCTAAGAAATTGTTGCTGAATCAGACTTGAGCAAACACTGTATTGTGAAAAATGTTACACAGCCTTAGATCAAGCAGTCCCCTGCTGTTTCTTCAGTCCACGGTTTGCAGGGTTGTACTTGTAAAAAGGCTGAGGGGGGAGCAGGGTAAAAACCCTTGTATGAAAACTATGTGAGTCCCCTCACAGATTAAATTCTCTAGAAAGCCAAACAAATGTAAGGATGAACATAGTATGTGCTTATCTGGCCAACAAATCTCACCCAGGCTTAATGCAAAGCTTACTCATCTTACAAGACAGAAATTCAGGTTAGTTCTCATTTGTTTCTTGCCTGCACTCTCTCCAAGGCGGCCAGCAGTCTTAATGGCCACAGTCCCTCGGAGATGGGGATGACTTGGGTGCTTGAGTCCCCAAAAAAACCCTGTATGTATTGCAGCAGCTCCACTGCTCCCACCACAGGCTTGTGATCTTTTTTTTTTTTTTTTTAAAAAAAATCTTTCTAAATTCATCCACTAGTCACAAATGGCAAGAAAGCTCAAAACCAGGCAATTTCCCTCTTTAAAGATGAGCTTATTGGTATAACATGACATTCAGTAATCTTTGCAATATTGCTGTTACAGGGCCTGCTTCATGAAGACTTTTATACACAAGTTAATTTCAGTGAAAAAAATTTTTCTGCTATTTTTTTTCTGCAACAGATAAAACTGGAGATACCTGTTCATATTTTAAGTTTGCTGAGACAGCTTTGTACTCCAGGGTAACTGTGCAGTTTTAATGAAGTTGTTCCTAACTCATGCTTGTCCAAATGAGATCAGAATCAGGCTGAAAAGTAATTAAGTATTTTTCATTCTTTTTCTTTAGGCAAACATGAACAGGCATAAAGAATGATAAAAATGGAAAGGAAGAAAAAGCTTTTTATTACAATGAATTAAGCTTCTGGAAGTTGTGTATTAAAATGTCTTTAAGCAAATGTTATTATTTGTTTCCTTTCTCTCTGTGGTGCCAGTAAGAGGAATTCTTGGTCTCCTGATCGATACAGAGAACATTTCATTGGCAATAATGGGAGTGAAGGGGTTAGCATGTGAACTTTGCCTTTAGGTCCTTTAAATGTTAAGTTTTAATTAATGCATTAATTACTTTCTAAGTTGACAGAAGATAAATGAGGTATCAGTTCTGGTATGGTTAATGTAGCTTGGCATTTTCCATTGTCACATTCAGGCTTACAGTAATCTCTGGGATCTTCAAGTCCTACCGTCAGCTCTTTTCCTGAGGTGCATGTGTGGGAGGAGATGGATGGGGAATGAAAGTGGGAAGTAGCAAGAACTTCACTTGAAAGGAGCTGTGCCCCGATCTAGCTATGTGCACAGGAAGAGTGTTACGTATTCCCTTTCCCCACTTTGTGTTGCCCTTCTGACTCCTGCTGCTCTTGAGATCTGGGTTTATGAATCATCTCCGCCACCAATGCCTGCGTTCCCTGAAGGATCAACTGCTAATAGGGCTTAAAGCGTTATCAGCTGCAGTCCAGACATCCATAGGATCTAGAGGGAATAGCAGGATCTCTCTCCTATCTTTGTGTCACCCCCCCACCATACACACTTAACAGACTTTTGTCAGACAGATTTATTTCTTACGTTTGCAAATTCCCCCCCATCTCTTAAACTGGTGCAAGGTCTTTGCTTTCAGCTTCCTTTTTTTCATTTAACAAATTCTGTCCTTCACAGGTGTGATGTGATCTTAAAGATGATTTTAAATCCTACCTGGGGAACTTCATATTCAGCCTGAAGGTTTCCTGATGCTAATCCACTCAGTAGGACTATTTCATTTTCCTTTGGTGGCTGTACATTCATCGAACTGATGAGTTTGGGGAGATTTGGAGAGACGCTGATCAACCTCTGTAGTACGAAAGATAGATTTGCTCTCAGGTAACAAAGTCTGAGTTGCACAGCTATATTCATAAATATCAAAATATGATTTATAGGCATCCCTTTAGAGAGCTTACTTGAACCTACTACTTTGAGTCAATTAAAAATAGAACTGGCAGCATTAAAATGCACATTCTTTCTTTTGAGCCACCAAGAAAGACAACAGTAACAGCACAAACTTTTGCACAACTGTCCAGCAGGACAATCTGTTATCCTTTACATTGTCATGTGCTAAAGACGCTTGATTGTATTTGTGCACTAAATGATCACTGTTGTTACTGTCCAAACCAGAAAAGATTCAGTAAGTGTGATAATGAGAACAGGCAAATCCAGTTTTCCTCCAGGCATGTGACAAGCAGGAAACCAAAGGGAAAGTCAGCTGGAACTTGCTGATCAAATTGATGCAATACTAAACCTGAAGTAATGGAAGTATTTAATACACAGACGAAACATGAATTTCTCTGCTGTTCCACTGGACACCTTCATGACCTTTTCTTTGTAATGACACAGTCATTTTCTACCTGTTATGTATCTGCTAGAGCCAAAAGTAGTAATAGTCACAACATCAATGATGCTACGTAACATAGAAGATTTGTATTGTGATACCGCTGGGAGTCCCCAGTGTGTGCAGGAGACATCAGAGCTCATTCAGGTACAAAGGCCAAACGAAAGGACAACCCCTACTCCAAGGGGGCTCTTCTGCCAAGGATCTCAGTGTGCTTGCGTTATGAACAAGGGTGACCCCTTATAGAGGGAGTAAATACCACCTCCATTTTATGCGCTAACATGGACCATCAAATGGCAAAGCCATGAAGGGAACGTAGCTCTCAGGCACACAGTCATATGCTATAGTTAGTATGCAATTCAGTGATACTTCACTTTTTCCTTTTCATCTGCAAAATAATAAGCTTGAAATACTGTTATTTTTCCTCAGAGTGAATTGGATATAATAAAACTTTCTGGCTTCGCAAATTTAATTCAATTTTGGGGAACAATTCACTTTTCAGTAGACCGATCTTCAGATGAGGCTAAGTATTTATATTTGACATAACTAAATTGAGTGTTTCAATTCAGTTTGACATTTCAGTGTAGTACAAAAAGTTCTCATTCTTTTCTTTTTTCAAATTATAACCTTTCTGTTATCACACACATTTCTCTACGTATCTCTATTTTTCTACTGCCTAAATTGCCACATTTATTAGATTTCTCAGGTAGGAAATCATGGCATTTTGTACATTTTTTACTGCAGTTCCTTACCTTTTGTTCAGAATAAAAAAGGAAAAGTCTGGAAAGATGATTATTTTACACCAAAAAACCCCAGTATAACCCATTCCAAGGTTCAATGGGTAAGGCAAAATCCTAATAGTACCTATTAGTAAATAGTTACATATTTCATATGAACAACATCTATGCTGACATCTTTAAAATTCTTCTTTGAAATGCTTTCACCACATCAGCGTCTTGTATAAAAATCCACCCCACTCAAAACTAATTTACACAAACTGCAAAAATCTTGATGAGTTTCTTCTTAGAGAATGTACAGTACCTGTGCTAGCAGTGAATTTTTATTACTTACACTGAAAACTAAAGGAAAAGTATAATCTTCCAGTCATGGCTACTAAGTGTGTTGACTGAGCACCAGAAAATACATTTCTAAAATGTGGCCAGATGTTGTGGTCTCTCTGCTATCAGTCCCCGCCGTGGGTAGTGCTGGCTGTGAGCACGGTGGGGTGCAGCACTTCGGGGAGCTGGCTGGGCTCTGCTGTGAAGGAAGAGCTTCAGGCTGCGTGAAGCACAGGGCGGGGTGAATGCATCACTGCTGTAGGGCTGATAGGTAAAAATCAGGTAGCTGCTTTCAAAAGTGATCTGTGCTTGTGAGGGAGCAATCAGGCACTGTAAAGGGTAGCTGCATAAAGCTAATTTAAGCTGGCTTTTACAGATATCTAGCTTTAAAACTGAGAGAGAAACTTTTGGTATTTCCTTATGACTTGCTATAGCTTTTATTCCCTAGTAAACACTGTAAACAACAATAAAACCATTGCTTATTAGAAAACAACCAGTGCTTCTGTGGGTTCAGTAAAGTTAAAACTCCCAAGCTGTTCTGCACAGTTAACCTGCTTATTCAAAAGAAAAATAATTTCACTGCAAGCTGTATTTATTTTTGATATCTGAATTTTCACAGATCCAGAAAACAGATGCAGAAAACAGCACAGGAGAACATTTCCTGCTAATGCATGACTTGCAGGAGTCAGCTGGGTCCCAGCTGGTTGTCCTCCCATGAGCTAGAAGTGGTTTCAGCAAATTAACTGCAATGCTTTACTGAGGAACGCCCTGGACGTTGTCAGGAGATCCTACCTTTGTTCACTTACCATGCATTGTTGCCCTATTGCTGTGTTGATCATAGGCACCAAGCCAGGATGATGAACTGATGAAGGAAGATGTAGACTGAAAACTGACACCAAGTTGTAACTTTAAAACGTGACTTCCTCATATTTGAGGGCTTTTTTGGTGTGGTATGTATTTTAAATAGCATATAATGATTTAGTTTGTTTTAGTGTTTGCAAAATAACCAAGACTTTTTTTTTTTTTTTCCCCTTATTAAAAAATCTCTTTTTCAACCCTCCAAACTTTCAGTTAAACAAGTAAAGCATACTTCTAGTTCTGTTTTATCTAGACCTCCTCAAGATCACATAGTCAAACTGTCTGGAGTTTGACTAAGTAAGACTTGTCAGATGAACAAGACCTAAATGAGCAGAAGATTCTCAAGGTCTTTTTGGCAGTAGGAAAGAGAGACATCAGAAATTATTTTCATATAGTATTATGTCAAATTAAAAAATTGGATGTATGACATACCCATGTTCACTTCTCTGATAAAACGAAGGCTGAACAAGAAGTTGACTCACATGATAACTGCTGTGAATTCACAGGCTGCCAACAATCCATTAGATCTTTCTGGGATGGGAGTAAGAAAAGCTATAAAATATGGCCTGCTGTTGTGATAACTTCAGGTTCCTGATGTATCGCTCTCTGTAAGGTTTAAAAATCTAGGGCTGGCTTTGATGTGTCCATAGAATTTTGATCTGGGTTTGTACTGGACAGTCCTGGTGTACCTGACTAGATGCACTGTGCATGTTATTAAGTCCTAAACTGTTACCTGTTTCACTTGCTCATCACTGCAGTCATCTCTGTTTGCATCTAAATTCACGAAACAAACCTGTAATAAGAGAGAAAAAGAAATAGTGGAGTATAAACTCATATTAATGTCAGAAATCCTTTAAAAGTTAATATATGTTCCTTTTCTAGCCTTGTAGCTGAAAATATGAAGCCTTTTCCTAGTACAAGAAAGGTTGAAAGGTTAGCAAAGAGAATAGCAGAGTAGATATTAAGAAAGGTGAAAAAGAACAAAACTGAGTCAGACTTTATCTGCTCTGAAAATTAGCTTCTGATGAATGGGCAAATGTTGCCAACACGCTGTAATACAGAGGATATTAGAAAAGACAGAGGAAATGTTAAAAATGCATTTGACTGTATATCAGATAAACTCTTCATGTCTTGCTTTTCCAATGATTTCTTCTTTTCAGGCACTTGTTGCTAAATGTTTCATAAGTGCAAGTACTGATTTATGCTGTGAGCTGCTTTTAGTGTTTTCTCCACATTACATAAATATTATCATATTTTTTTCTAACTTTCCAAACTTCCGAAGTAGAAATTTAAGACTTTATGGAAATAATTTTTTTAACCTTGGTTCATGAGCCAATATGCAAGTAGAAGTTTTCAGCCGTGCTAACCAAGCACTACAATAGATGGCAGGACAGCTTACTATCTAGTAAGTTTACATGTGATTCACTGGAAAGTACTACTTTTAATGTCAAAGTCTTTTGTCCCTTCTTTAATTGTGATGCGTTTCAGCAACAGTTTAATGGTAGTGAGATAGACTTACACACAAACTTCAGATCTAAAGACCATTTCATTTTCTGAAGACTTTTATTCTTTTACATGACTGGAAGACCTTTTACTAGTTTTCAGAAATAAGAAAATACTTCCTCCAGCTTTATTTCCAAGAGAACTCCAAAACTAGGCTGACTGTCCTACTTCTGAGTGCTGTGGATATCTCTTTAGAAGTTTGTGAGAGTTTGGTGTTGTTTTGATATAAACCAAAACCTGGCACAGATTCAGGGCTGAGCTAAAGCCAACACCTGATTCCAAATAAATTGCAGATCTGGAATTTACCTTTTAAGAGATGAGTGATTTTTTTTTTTTTTTTTCTCGCTTTCCAGCAAACAGTAAATTCTTCTTTCCATAATTCTACATAAATTTTCCCTAGAAAAACAAAATGCTCTAAATTATCCCCTTCACCCATATTCTTGTGTTAGACATCCGAGCTCTTGTTGTGTGCCTGCTTTTACCCCAAGACAACACTGATTTCAGTTTATATATGCACATACCATATGTACAAATTATGACCATCTGCAGTAACAGCCAGCACAGCAGATGGAAAGATCCAGCCAGACCTCCCATTGTAAACCAAGAAAACCCCACTGAAAAAGAAAGCTTTTTGCCTTTTACATAATTTAATGGTATCTTTATATGAACTTTAAACCATTTTTGGATATTTTCAGAATTTTAGGAAAGATATTTCTCTGCCTTACAATGTCAACAATCAGGATATGCCACTGTCATCTGTATTTTATGGCAGGTTAAGTTTTACGAAATAGTTATAAAAATTTCTAAGCTATAATGTATTAAAAATACCCTCTAGCAATATAATGTGGTAGTTCTAATGTCCTAAATGTGTTACAGTTAATTATAAAGACAATACTTTTTCTTACTTTCCACTGGGATTTTACATGTAGGCATTTTATATATCAGCAATAGGTAATTACAAAGCATTAGAAAATTATGCTCTTGATTTGCATGTGTACTTGCGCAGTGCCCGCAGTGATGCACAGCTATGAGTCCACAGGTGCACGGAGGTGCATTTGCTTAGGCAACCATTAATTTGGCAAGCAGGGTAGGAGTGATGGAAGGTATGAGTCCGGTTTCTAGTCTGCTCAGGCATGCTCACGACTGTACTGAAGGTAGGGCTGTTACTTGGGAGTTTTGTTTCCAAGCCCGTGTGCCAGAGTGGTAGGCTGTGTAGGAGCAATCATTTCTGCATGTACATTCCAGACAAACACAACTCTCAAACAAACCTTGTTTTCTTGTTTGCTACCTGTACATGTTGGTACAATGGTACATGTCTTTGCTGTTTTAAACACGGGCACAACTACCATCCTAAAGGTACATCCTTTCTGAGCAGCCAAAAAATCATCTCTATTTCATGAGGCATGGATGGCATATAGCTCACCAATGCCTCACTAGAAGAAATAACAGTATAAGCAGGAATATTTATTATTTAAAGTAATATGGTCTTTCATCTTTTTAAAAATTTTATTTTCAGAACCCAATGAACTTATAAAACCTACAGCAGTAGTGAATCCGGTTTCTACACACACTTGTCAGATTCCATTGACATTGATTTATTACACTGCCAAGTCAGTCTCAGCTTTTTCCTGTTCTGTGGATTTTGCAGTTTTAATTATAAGTAACTTTTGCACAAAACCAGTTTTGCACTGGTGAAAGGCACTGAAGAACTCACTTGTTCTGATTTGCTGTTTGCTCTGAGATCAGCCCCGACTTGAGCAGGAGCTGGGACTAGATGGCTACTGTAATCATAAATTAACTCTACAGCTCTGTCCTGGCAGGCTCTGCACTACTGCTACCTTCCAGAAAGTTCACTGTGAGGATAGGTTCCTTGGAGATACTTCACTAGAGTTTCTCAAAGAGAAAAAGATCCATCTGAAAAATCTCTCACTGTTTTCTGCTTATGTAATACAAAACTTAAGCTCCCACTAGCTTGCATTGCTTGATGAACTTTCAGGTAATTATGAGGGACACCTCCATCAAAACAAGGCAAAACAACATTAGAGAATAATGCATAATCTGTAAGGAGTGAAATACTGCATAGATTATGATGAAAGAGCCAAGGTCAGGGCAGCATGTAACCTCGATCTAATTCTGACTTTTTCCTTTCATTCAGATCCAGGTTAATGTATTTTAGTTTAGTTTAACTAGAACCTAACCTCGTCCTAATCATAGTATCTTCAAATGTCAATCCTTTGCCATACACTTCTCCCTTTATACCTCACATTCATGTCTTCCCACAAACATCTTTTCACTTCTAAAATGTGTCTGCTCTCCACTCATACAAAGCTACTGTCTGGAAATCATACAGAAATTTCAAGATACTGCCTTTTTTTTCTGGCTTAGGTAATATTTATTTTGGGGGTGAAGAAACAACAAAGTTTAAATGGTGTTATATAATACAAAAAGGAAAAAAACCCACCCAAATTCTGGCTTTACATAGTGAGACAGTCACCCACAACTTCCCTGTTAGATACTAATATCTACTTTTGGTTCAATAGTGTTTCCCGTGTAGAAATCCTGTTTGCTCAAGTGAGTACAAAACTTTTATTTAGGTGAACATGTACCACTGCACTCAAATCTAGAGTCTCAGTACTGGCAGAAAGCAGTGTGCTATATATCTAGAAACCATTTAACACATCATTCACATCGTAAATAGAAACCTTTTACTATGCAGATTCCTGTACATGAATGACACGAATTGAGGTCTGATCCCCAATCCTCCTCTTCATAAAACTCTCCAAGCATTTCTACTATGACAGTACCAGGCAGATTATCATCACTAATTTGCTGAACTTTGATCCTGAAGAAGCCTTTACTTTCCAAGATCATATAAAAAATAGAGAAACTTTTATTTTTCTTCTTTTCTTCCTTATTTTGCATGATAATTTCTGTGACTGGTAAGAGGTGTGTGGAGTAAATTCTCTAGATCAACAATTTCAAGTCCTGAAATCTAGTCTTGAGTCAGTGTAGAAACTATGCAGACACCTCAGCACCTACTGTCTGCAAATTAAGACTACTACTTCTTAAAAGAACTATGTGTTAACAAATTAGTCTATAAAGCACTTAAGGATATAATGCCATATACAAACAATATATTTTACTCACTGACAGATGGCCTCAGGGAATCGCTAAGAGTGTAATACTGTTCTCCCTTTGGAAGAGTAAAGCAATTTCATTTTTTTGTAAGGGTACTGATGCTAGTGAACAGCTGAATAACAAGCAAAGAAATATATTATTGTCTATATTTTCCTTATTGCTTTCATTTCAGCTTGTATTAAACAAGGTCGATATTACTGGCACTTTAATATTCCCTAGATAAAAAAATGTTAAGATGGTAAGAAAGAAATGCTGTCTCAGTGTCTTACTAACAACAGGAATTTAAAAAACCAAACAAACTGTATTTTTCCTAAGTGTCTGTTCTAGGGTGAAGTCTGTTTCAGGTTCTGTACTATTTGCCCCAGATAACAGATTGCTAAACTAATTTTTTTTCTGGTTTAGGAAGTGCTAATGCCTCTTTCTAAGGTCTGTATCAATGCCTGACAGTAAGGAAAAGCTTTTTCTTTGTCCTATGAAATGTCTTAAAGCTTCTGGTGAGATTAAAATGAGCTTGTGGGTTTTTTATTAAGCTAATATTTTTTTTTCTTTTTTTAATTAAGAAGAAAATCTGTTTTCCAATCCTCTTCTATGTCAAAACACTAGCTCAGCAGAGATGTTTGAAGGTTGGGTTCATCCTGCCACAACAGTAGTAGCTTCCTTCACAGTGCTGTAATGGCCAGGAGCTGCTAGCAGCTTTTGAGAAAAGAAACAACTTGGAGATGCTTGGTTCCTTTTCTCCCATGAATCATGACTTCTTTTGGCTTCTTCTTAGGGAAGAGGTTGAACTGAAAATCCACTATATTCCTTCCTCTCACTGAGATAATAGCTGTCCCTTGCATCTAACTGATATAATTACTCTGGTAAGTGAAGTGAGAGTCATAGGCTTGTGTTCTGCCCTGTAAAAGGCTGTGATCAACACTTGTTTAAAGTGCTGCAGGAAGTGTTTATTTTTTTCCCCCATAAAATCCAAACACATGAACATTATATACCATCCTCCCAAATAAATTTCAGATATCTGTTATAAAAGAAAGGAATCTAAACAGAAGAAACAAGACCTGAAAAATTAGAACTATATACACACAGCTTGTGCAAACCTTAATTCTAATTTGTATGCCCACATTTATGCAACACAGTATCTCTGCCTGATTCAGT